GACAATTAGATATAAATTGAATAACAATATAATTCATAATTATATTTTTCTTAGCATTACTATAAAGGATTATATATATGCTAGTTTGAATAGTTTTTGAATTAAAATTATATTTTTAACATTTTTATAATTTTTTATAAATATATATAAATATGTATGTATGTATGTATGTATGTATAAAAAATGTATCACATCCTATATTTTTAAAAATAAAAGTATCGACGGATCGTATTCGATATCTATATAAGTATCTGTGCATCCTATTTGGTATTTTAAAATATAAGGTATTTTAAACAAATAAAACTTTTTTTTGGTGAAAAAAATTTATTAATGATAATTATTCTAATAATCTTATTATTATTTCACTCTTTAAATAAATTTCTTTACCTTTCTTTTATTAATAAATTTTATTTTTAAAAGTCTAAAAAAATTAATATTACAAACTATATAAATGAGCATAGGAGGAGTGTAAGGTAAAGAAGTAGCAATTTTTTCCCCCCTAACTTTACTCCTTTTCAATTATAATCAGTTGTTGGCAATAGCATGGTTTTAATTTCTATATATTATTTTATTATGATTATTAATTTTAGTAAAGGGTAAATTTTGAAAATATCATATCTTTACATGCTTAAGGTTTCAACCATTACTTTTTAAAAATTGTAAGATCGGATAACATTACTCTATTATTAAGATTGAATGGAGTACGAGCAAATTAAAGATAAAAACTATCTCCCCATTATTCTTTGTATTAAAATTTTAAGGTAAACTATACCATATTGATAAATGGATGCCAAATATAAGGAGCTCCTTCCTAGTCTTTGCACACAATGATGCCACTTCATTATTCATTGCTTATAGATGCATGTAAGATATTAGCACAAATGTTAAGAAGCTAAGGAAATAGAGGTTCTCTTACAATATGGCATGGGTTAGTTGCAGCATTCTTGTGAGGGATCCATTGGCTAATACTATGTAATAAGAGACATAATCATTTGACTTCTTATGAGAAATTCGTTGGCCATTCCGAAGGCACATTATCAAAGGCTTTATTAGAAAATTTTACTCCCCAACCCCACTTCTGTTAGTTTATCTTAAACTGTACCCCTATAATGTTGTCTGAAATGAATTCATTTCAGAAAGCCACTGTGACTCGAAGCAAATAGATCTTCAAGAACCTACTTCATCCTAGTTCACAAGACTAGATTGATTGGCCTATAATCTTCGGGTGATTTTTGTTAGTCCAGGCTTTTGTTCGGTACTATAAAAAACCATCATTAATCCTAGTGGAATCTGCTTTTTTCATCTAATGTTGCACTTGCTTGCAATAGATCATCCCTTAGTTTTAAATTTTTCAAAGGAACAATCCCCCCTTTTATAAAGCTAAAACGTTAGGTTCCTGTAGTATCTTATTGCTAACATATATAGAAGAACGGTGTTATAAAGAGAAATGTGTCAGAATACATACACACTCATATATATATATATATATATAGTGATTTAGAGGCAAAATAAATTTAATTGAAGTCAAGTGTTCCCTCCAACTCCACCTATGTTTATAGCCGGTCCCAAGCCCGGGTAAAGGAGGAGGGTTGTGTTAGGCCATCAACAGCCAATGTAAAAATTTGTTGAATCTATCATGAACATGGACAATAGACGTTATAATGTTATGCTAGGTCGTTGCCCGTAAGTAACGCGCTGCATGGCTCGAGTACAGTGATAAGTGAGTTAGAGCCACTGCATCGGCGCCCGGATATAGTGTTAAATGAGCAAGGGCTACCGCGTCATTCTGGACGCACGCGGCTAAAGAAGTTAGTCCATAAGAGCAAAATTAGATTTGGTACTTGGAATGTTGGGACATTAAATTGTAAATCTGTAGAGGTTGTAGGGGTTATGACTCAAAGGAAAATCAATATCCTTTGCTTGCAAGAAACAAAATGGCGTGGAGAAGAAGCTAAGGATATTCAAGGTTTCAAACTTTGGTATACAGGAAAAGTAAGTGCACGCAATGGAGTAGGCATCATTATAGATAAGGAGTGGAAGAAGAACGTTGTAGAAGTTAGCAGAATTGGAGACAGAATTATTTCTTTAAAAATGATAATTGGACGTGAGACTGTTAATATTGTTAGTGCTTATGCGCCGCAAGTCGGGACAGAAGCCAGTCTTAAGAAATTATTTTGGGAGGATCTGGAGGGGTTGATTCGACACATACCACAGAGTGAAAAGATTTTTATTGGAGGAGACTTTAATGGGCATATCGGGAGGGAAGCTGGTCAGTATGCGAGGGTGCATGGTGGTTTTGGTTTTGAATAGCTAAACAATGAAGGACAAACTCTTCTTGATTTCTCATTGGCGTATGATTTTAAGATTGCCAACACTTGTTTCAAGAAGAGAGATGAGCATCTCATCACTTACAAAAGTGGAGCCTCAAGGTCACAGATTGATTTTCTTTTGGTTAGGAACACAGATAGAAAACTTTGTAAAAATTGTAAGGTGATCCCTGGAGATGCTGTAACGACACAACATAGGGCCCTAGTCCTTGATGTGTGTATTATGAGTAAAATCCAAAAACGTCGACAAGTAGTAACACCAAGGATTAGGTGGTGGCAATTAAAAGGTGAGAAGCAGGATATTTTCAAGCGAAATCTTTTGGATAAAGGAATTTGGGATTCTCAGGGAAGTACTAACATCATATGGGAGGATATGGCTAAAAAGATACGGGAGGTTGCAAAAGTAGTTTTGGGAGAATCGAAAGGTTCTGGTCCGAGAGATAAGGAGTCTTGGTGGTGGAATAATAGTATATAGGACAAAATCAAGTATAAGAAGAATTGTTTTAAAGCCATACATTTGTGTAACAATGAAGAAAATTGGGAGAGGTACCATATGGCTAAGAAGGAAACTAAGAGAGCTGTGGGTGAAGCTCGTTCTAAAGCTTTTGAAGAATTTTATAAGAACCTTGAGACGAAGGAAGGAGAGCAAAATATTTATAAGATTGCCAAGAGTAGGGAAAGAAAATCAAGAGATCTAGAACAGGTAAGGTGTATTAAGGATGAAGAGGAAAGAATTTTAGTTACAGATGATGAAATTAAAAATAGATGGGAGACTTATTTTTCTAAACTTTTCAATGATGGAGAGGATTCATCTAGTAACTTGGAGGATTTAGTAACTGGTGAAGGAGAACAAAATTTGTCATTCTATCGAATAATACGTGATAAGGAGGTAAAGGAAGCTCTTAAGAAAATGACAAATGGTAGAGCCAACGGACCTGATTGTATATCTATCGAAGCGTGGAAATGTTTAGGTGAAGAAGGGGTGAGATGGTTAACTAAGTTATTTAATGTGATTTTACGGTCCAAGAAAATGCCTGATGAGTGGAGGAGAAGTACATTAATTCCTATTTATAAAAATAAAGGAGATATTCAGAATTGTACTAATTATAGAAGGATTAAACTCATGAGCCACACAATGAAATTGTGGGAGAAAGTAATTGAGTACAGGTTGAGATTGGAGACAAGTATTTCTGAAAATCAATTTGGTTTTATGCCAGGTAGATCAACTACAGAGGTGATTTATCTACTAAGGGGATTAATGGAAAAGTATCATTGTAAAGATAAAGATCTACACATGGTTTTTATTGATTTGGAAAAAGCTTATGACCGTATACCAAGAGAAGTGCTTTGGAAAGCGTTGGAAAAAAAGGGAGTACGGATTGCTTATATTAAAGCCATACAAGATATGTATGAGGGGGTAAAAACTAGTATAAGAACACCTAGTGGTCAAACAAAGGATTTTCCTATAAAGATTGGACTACATCAGGGATCATCTCTGAGTCCTTATTTGTTTAACTTGATTTTAAATGTTTTGACGGAACATATTCAAGAGGAAATCCCGAAATGTATGCTCTTCGCGGATGATATAGTTCTTATAGCAGAGACAAGAGAAGAGGTTAATTGCAAACTTGAGTTATGGAGGAGGACATTGGAGTTGAAAGGTTTTCGTCTGAGTAGAAGTAAGACAGAATATTTATATTGTAAATTTGGTAAAGGACTATTCGAAAATAATTTGGAAGTGAAATTGGGAGATCAAATTATACCTCAAGTGGAAAAGTTTAGATATTTGGGAGCCATTATTCAAAATGATGGCGAAATCAGTGGAGATATTTCACATAGAATTCAAGCTGGGTGGTTTAATTGGAGAAAAGCTAAATGAGTTATTTGTGACTGTAAGGTGCCTAATAAACTTAAAGGAAAGTTTTATCGCACTGCTATCAGACCGGCAATGTTATATAGTAGTGAATGCTGGGCTCTAACGGGATAGCCAGAGCATAAAGTTGGAGTAGCAGAGATGAGAATGTTACGATGGATGTGCGGACATACACGTAAAGATAAAATTCGAAATGAACACATACGCGAAAAAGTGAGGGTGGCACCTATTGAGGAAAAAATGGTAGAAAATCGGTTGAGATGGTTTGGGCATGTACAAAGAAGACCAAGGGAAACACCAGTGAGAAGAGTGGAACATATAACTTTGAGTCCGATTAAGAGAGGTAGAGGAAGGCCTAAGAGAACACTCTTGGAAGTTGTTGAACGTGATCTCTTAATTAATAATATTCCTAAAAGCTTGATAAATGATAGAGCACAATGGCGTCTTGCAATCCATATAGACGACCCCACCTAGTGGGATAAAGGCTTGTTGTTGTTGTTGTTGTTGTTGAAGTCAAGTGTTCCCTCCAAACTAAAATGCTTCGTTTTTTCTTCATTCCACCGGGGTTTAGGGCCAAAAAAAATCTTGAAGAGTGAAATTTGTCACCTCCATTTGTGGGTTTCGTTATCTCTCTAATGTACCTCTCCCGCGCATCTTGTATTACTTTAAGATTGTATCTGGAACTAATTGTTTTAATCAATATTTATCTTTTTCTTTTAGAAAATTCCATCAGGATCTAATCATTGTTAATTCAATTTTTTTTGAAACTCAACCGTTGTTATCCCGAGGATATTTAAGGATGTCATAAAACTATTGTAATTTGTAATATTCCAACAAGAAAAACGTGCAATTCAATATCGTCGGATACGACATTCCAGGAAAGGCATAGCACCAATCCTCATTAATAGCTATGAATAGCAAAATGCTGTGGAAACGATATCCTAGTAAAATTATTTAGCTTGCTTGGTGGTTACAGCTTCCATTTCAGAATCAGGTGATATTCTGAACTTGAGAACCTTGTGAAGTTGACACGAAGGTTTTACTTGCTTCTTTGGAGGTTGACTTGAATCAATTATCTTAGTTCCAGAGAAAAGATTCACTTCAGATGGTCCTGTCTCTTCATGAATAACAGGAGTATCTGCAAAGTGGACAGCTTTATCATACAACTTGAACTATAGAAATTCTTGGTTGCGGGAAGACAAAGTATGTATATATACAAAACATTAAGAGTCTCTAACAAAGATGTCTTCAGATATAGCTACGGTTGTCTCATCTAATTAGGAAGAAAAGGCATCGTTAAGTACAGCTCAGCAATACTTTAGGCAATGCAACTAGTTGTTTAGTCCTCCTATCTAACACACGGACACTCCTCATATTTCTAGTTATATATATATATATATATATTGTCAACTTGAGGCTCTGAGAAACCAATTACTAGTTCAGTTACAGATAAATAAACTTGATGGAGTAACAGAAAACTTTGGCAATTGCATCTTGAAACTGAGCAAATTCCTTCTAAGGAACAACATTAACATTCTAGCAAAAAAAAAATAATAGTCCACTACTCTTGTCGTATTTTGAGCCAGGCAGTAGATATGTGTCACTTCACTTGGAGGACGTGCAGAAGCAGAAAAAGCAGCTTTCAAAACTCAGTTAAATGGAAACAGCTACAGCAATATTTAAACACTAACAAGCCAGTAGTGCCATCTGACAACACATTCTAATTTTCCAACTAAGATTATTTTCCTTTTCCCTAGAAGATTTCAGCACACATAACTCACCTTCCTCTGTAAAGACAATACATGTTCCAATTGTCTCCTCATACTCCCCAACCTGTAATAGACAAAGAGGAACCATCATAATTCACAAACAGTCATCATACATTCAGATTACAGAAAAAATGAATAAAAAAGTGGTTGCAGACCCAAAGTTAAATTCTACTGCAGCAACTGAACAAATAACTCCATCTATACTTATGACAATTGATTTTAAGAAATTCTAGCAGCAGGTAGCATTTAAAGAATTAATCATTTGATGGAAACCCAAAACTAAAGTTGATATTATTTATGAAACAAGGCTACAATTTCCCAGTCCATTACAGTAAATGGGCAATGGGATAGCAGCGTATGGCAGATATAGTTACAGTAAGAGGAAAATACAGACAACAAGATATTCGAGAGACCAAGGACTCTACGCAAGCCAAATGGTTTATCCTGTGTCTCTTATACCTCAAGTCACAATATATTTTTCCCACTGACCACTTTAATCCCTCTCTTACTCTCACGCAACGCACCTCACAACCCATGCATCAGTTACAAGCACCCGGCCACCTCAACAACATTCCCTGCAGCCTTGCCTGTTAATTACAAGCCCATCATTAAATAACATCTAACACAGTTGCTTCCAAATAAATGATTATAAAGTACTCCCCCCAGTCCTATTTATAAGACACTTTCTAGAAGTAAGTTTTGGTTCAAAATATAGGATACCTTGTAATAATTAAACCACTTTTTTCAATTTTACCCTTTATAGAATAGCATACTTATATAATTATTTAAAAACAAGGATAAAAATAAAAGTACATATCACTTTCCATGATATCAAGGAAAAAACTAATCTTTCTTAAGCTGAGTGAAACAATTAAAAGTGTTTTATAATAAGGACCGGAAGGAGTATAAATTATCTAGACAGTGTCACTAGATCACATGAGAATGAAAAAAAAGAAAATCTATGAAATATCCGCCAGGAAGTAGCTTATAACAGCTGGAAGAGATCAGTCATGAAATTGTAATTCAAATGTATCAAAGAAAAACAGAAAGACTGATAAAGAATAACCATTTAAAAAAAAAAAAAAGGTCACAACAGACAAACAATGCATGCTAGTTCCAGGATGCAGCAGCAATTAGCTAAATGTAACTAGCACTATATTAAGGCTGTGCATAGAGGGAGGGTGAGAGTGTTACTGATACTCTCAACTTCTACAAAAATGCTCCTCCTATTTTTTTTTTCTCTTGTCACAGATGGAGTATCTACTCTCACGGATAAATGGTGCAATGATTTTCAGGAAAAGTAAAAAGACTGACTGAACATGTATTGTGTCATGCACAAGCATGTCTTTATCCATTCACATCCAAATTCAATGCAAATGTTTGATAGGGAAGGGTATTTAAGTTTTAAAGGCAGCTAGCTTACCAACTTCAATTTGTCATCAATGATCAACACAGGGTTTAATGTATCTAGGCCCTACAAAAAAGCATACATGGTATAAGAACATTTTATTAAGGTAAGATGAATCAATAGAAAAAAAAGTACAAATATACCGTTGCAAAAAGCAGAGAAAAATATATGAGAGCAACAAGATTCATTTCCTTTGAATTCTGAAACAAAGTTACTTGTCAAAACAGGATATGAGATTATTTGGCCAAGTGAACAAAAACTGGGCTAATAATATGAAGCAGGCGTTATATTGTCAATCACTTACCATTATTCTAATAATTTATTTTTTTTAAAAAAATGGCAAGCTTATTTAACAGATTACCTAATAGACCGATCTCATTTATAACTTAATAACCATAAGGGTCAAATGCATGTAGAATATTTTTATTTATAAAACATTTTGAAAGATATACAATATTCAAGGTTTGAAGACCCGGACCGACTCGAATGGTCGGACCGGTCGGATCGTCGCCCGTTGAAGAAAGCGGGTTGGGTCAACTAATTAACCCGTATGAGCAATTGACCCGGGTTGGCTCGTCTGGAACCGGACGGGTTTTATAAACCCGGAAAAGAACCGGAACCCGAAACGGTTTGAATGGGTCAGAAGGGGGTCAAAGGAGGGGCAAAATTGGAATTTTAAAAAAAATTTAAAAAACCCTTATCTATCAGTTATCAGATCATTATCTCTCGGATTTCACTTTCAGAGTTTCAGGTTCAGATTTCAAATTCAGCCGGTACAGTCACGGTCTCGGTCTTCAGATTTCACTCCCTACAGTCACGCCACCTCGCCCGCTCGCCGTCGCAGCTAGACTCAGAAGTCAGAAAGAAATCAGGCATCAGCGTCTCACGGTCTCGGTCTCGGTCTCAGTCTTCTCTTCTCTGTTCTCTCTCTATCTCGCACGATGGCCGGTGGGTTCTGTCGTTCTGGTCAGTCATCGGCTCATCGCACATCGCCTCCTCAAATCTCGACCGTCTGGGTTCCGTTTCTGTGGGTCTCTTCTCTGTTCTCTCTCTGTGCATTCACACCGAGATAGTCGGACTCTTCCCTCTCTGTGCATTCACGCCATTTCTGTGCATTCACTGTCTTCATCTTCTTCGTCTTCTTCACAGTCAGACTTTTCCCTCACTGTGCATTCACACCGAGACAGTCAGACACTCAACATCCTTCATTCTTCATCTTCTTCATTGATCGCTGATCGCTCTCTCTTTCTCTCTCTCAGTCCTGGTGAGCTCCTTCATCTATCTCTCTGCCCAATTTAATCTAATGCCATGTTTTTGAATAGCAAATTAGCAATGTATGAATGCTGATGGATGAACATTTTTTTTATTATCTGCGCTGTTTATTTTCTGAATTTTGAATTATTCAAGACTCTTATACTGTGTTGTCTGCTCTGTGATTTATCTATGGATATGGTTATAATTATATTCATATTGTCCTAATCGATTTGAGACTCAAGAGTTGTTTATTGACAAAATAGGAAGGCTATATTCATATTGTTTGTCTGCTTTTAATTTGTTAATTTACTTGTTTAGGTGTAGAAAATGTCGTCATCTGATCATGCATCTACTGCTGCATCTACTCAATCTGTTAGAGCTAAATCAGATCCTACATGGGAGCATTGCACTCAAATACCAAACAAAAAGGAAGGTGGCAAACCTCGCTTAAAATGCTTGTATTGTGCAAAGGAATTTGTTGGCGGGGGAATTAATAGAATGAAACAGCACCTTGCTGGGAAAAGAGGAGATGCCATTAGTTGTAAAAATGTGCCTCATGATATTCGCTTTCGATTGGAGGAAAATTTGAAAGAGATTGAGGGAAAGAGAACAAAAAAACAAGATAACCCAACAGAAACAGATGATAGTCTATTTGGAGGGAATGATTCAAATATGGAAGAAATGGCTCCTCCACAGTCTCAAGAAAGGGTGATTGAAGCAAATGTTCCAAGTTCTTCTCAATCAAGAAAAAGGAAGGCATCTGAATCTTTAGAGAAGTTCTTTGCCCCAAGGACAACCCCGGGTGCACAACCAGGAATAAGAAGTGCATTTACAGGTAAAGAAGCTTTGCATAGAGCTGATTTAGCTATTGGTAGGTGGTTATATGATTGTTGTATTCCAATAAATGCTGTGAATTCCATTTACTACCAACCTATGGTAGATGCTATTGCTGCTATTGGTCCTGGTTATAAAGCCCTAAATTATCATGCCATGAGAAGTAAAATATTGCAAGACATGAAGAAGGAGGTTCAGTTACTAGTTGATGAATGCAGAAGTTTTTGGGCTGAAACTGGTTGTACTATAATGGCGGATGGTTGGCAAGATCAAAGAAATAGGCAGTTGATTAATTTTCTTATTTATTGTCCTAGAGGAATTGTTTTTATTAAATCTGTAGATGCCTCAGATATAGTTAAGGATGCTCAAAATCTTTGCAATTTATTCATGGACATGGTTGCATTTGCTGGTGCGAATAATATTGTTCATCTAGTAACTGATAATGCAGCTAATTATAAAGCTGCTGGGAGATTATTAAATGACAAGTACCCTTCTATTTTCTGGTCTCCTTGTGCTGCCCATTGCTTAAATTTGATTTTGGCAGACATAGGCAAGATGGAGATTGTTACTAGTTTAGCAGCACGTGCATCTGTGGTTTCAAAATTCATATATAACCATGCATTTTTGCTAGCTTGGTTGAGGAAAAGAGAGAGTTGGGTAGAAATTATTCGCCCAGGGGCCACACGGTTTGCCACTACTTTCATTGCTTTGAAGAGTATCTATGAGCACAAACATGATATACAAGCCTTGATAACTAGTAAGGCATTTATGGACTCTAGATACTCTAAGGATCGAAAGGCTAAGGATGTCACAATGATTGTGTTGGACAACAAATTTTGGAATGACTGTAAAATTGTTGTTGAAATTGTAAAACCACTCATCCGATTGTTGAGAATTGTTGATTCTGATGATAGGCCATCACTTGGGTATGTCTATGATGGTATGTATAGGGCAAGGAAAGCTATAAAGAATACTTTTTTAAAGAAAAAATATTTGTACAAGCCCTACACAAGGATTATTAAGAGAAGGTGGGATTCTCAGCTCCGACAAAATCTTCATGTAGCTGCTTATATCTTTAATCCTGCCTTTCTTTATGATAAAGAAAACTTTTCTCAAAAGCCAGAGGTTATGCAAGGATATCTTACTGTTATAGATAAGAAAGTCTCTTCTAATAAGACCAAGTTCTTGCAAGAAGGCACACAATATCAGGAAAAGAGTGGTAGCTTCAGTCATCCATTGGCTATTGAATCTGCAAAATCAATGCGACCTGGTAAAGTAAAGATTTAGATATTTATCTTTTATATTTATTATCTTGCAACTTTATCTGTAAAATCTCTTCTACTAACTTTATCTTTAATATGGCAGATGAATGGTGGCGATATTTTGGAAGTAGTTGTCCAAATATTAAAAACTTAGCCATTAAATTGTTAAGTCAAATTGCATCTTCATCAGGTTGTGAAAGGAATTGGAGTGTCTTTGAAAGAATACACTCCAAGAAAAGGAATAGATTAGAGCATCAAAGGTTGAATGATCTTGTATATGTTCATTACAATTTTTGCTTAAAGAATAGGTATATTATTTAAAGCTTTGTGTTTATTTGCATTCATAAAGATTGGATGAATGAATTCTTATAATTTGCTATTGTCATGTGTATTTTAGAGTTGCTAACAAGAGAAAAGCAACTGATCCTGTTGATTTTGAAAGTATTGATAAAATTGAGTATTGGATAATGGAAGAAGATGATCCTTCTTTACTTCATGCTGATGAGATAGAAGGAGATCTCCTTTATGATGAGCAAACACTACCAAGAGCTATTATTTCGCAGCAGGAAGAGGAAGGTTTGAATTTGAATTTTCTTGAGAGCTTTATTACATGCTATCACTTTTATTATATTGCTCCTAATAATGCTTTAATCTGGTTTGATTACTTTGATGTATTTGTTTATGAAGATGATCAACAAAGAGTGAATATGGCAGAGGGTGAAGGGATTGATTTAGGATCATTTGGTCAGGAAGATGATGATAGTTACAACTCAGATGCTGATGCTTTCGAGCCTAACCATGCCTGGATTAATTAAGTGGATTGACAAAGATCTGCCAATATCTTTGGCAAGTAATGAAATTATTATTTATCTTATAATGTTTGGCTTGTGGATTGTAGATTGTTGTACTTGTGAACTTGTTGCATTATGTTAATGACTTGACCAGAACATATTATGGTGTTTTTGTTGTATTAATGACTTAGGTGTTTTGAAAGACTTAGGTGGTGGTATATTTTTACTAACCAGTTGTATTAAAGACTTGGGTGGTATTTTAAATATATATATATATATGTTATTTTTTATTTAATTATTAGGTAGCCGGTTCGACCGCCGGTCCGACCGGTTGAACCATGAGACTCGTGACCCACTGACATTTCCGGTTCGCTGTCCGGTCCAGGTTTTAAAACATTGACAATATTGACATGATACTTCAATTAAGAGAAATTTTTTCTTTTAATCATTAAGTAAATAAAAATATTAAGAGCAAACATGTTAAACAACATACAGTTAGAACATATTTAGCATTTGGAGGAATGTCAAGATTCCCAGAAACACCATCCAGATCAAGCAAAATATATTCTTCTTGATCCTTGTGATCATGAGGTGTAACATTTGCGTCCATACTCCTGCTGCACAAGTTTACAAGTAAAGAATACCATTCCACGATAACTATAAAGAAGGAAGAAAGTTCTTGAATGGAGATTAAATAGCAAGAACAGAATTGACCTTCCAACTGCAGTCCTCTTCGTAACTTGCTTCTGGAAGAAAAGTCTTTGTAGTCTCCGCCAACACTCCGTTTCTAGTCTGGCAACAGCGTTGATTAATCTTCCTCGGAATCAAAAGAAGAAGAAGAAGAAGAAAAGAAAGTTGCTCAAGAGCTGATTTCGATTCCTCGAAGGAAGAAAATCTCATAAGCTGAAGAAGTTCGAATATTTATTTTATTTCAAGTTTTGAATCCGAAAATGGAGTTTCAACCCAAATCAGGTTAGAAAAACTCAACTTGCCCTAGAAACTGCTAAGCATTACATTAATCACGGTCTGAATATTTCTCATCTGCCATTGTTACTTATCATCTCTGTGAAACAAGAATTCCAGAATTTATATTCACACCTGAGAGAGAGAGAGAGAGAGAGAGAGAGAGAGAGACAGGGTTGCCGCCTCGCCGGCGAACTTGTTTACTGGCTGACTGCCGCGGATGCTAATCCCCGCCAAAAGGAGGTCCAGATTAAAAGTGAACATTCCGAAAATAAATCGAACACGAGTTTTATCCTGTGGCCCATATGGCAGCTGGAAAGCTAAGCCCAAAATGCTCTTTAAGCCCAACCCAATTTTCATCAGCTTTGTTTTTTATTTTGGTATTGTGAAGTAATTTCGTGGCACCAAAATAATCCCGCTGGCAGCATCAAGTTAGAACAAAAAAAATCAACCAACCAAGAAGAAGGATTGGATTTACAACGTGACCAATTAAGATACTTCATTTTTAAATATTTATATTTAATATTTGATCGTATTTTAAAAATAATTATTTTTAATAAAAAATTACACGTAAACAAGAGAGAAAAAGATCACTGATGAGAGGAAAAAAGAAAGTAAGGAGACAGTCACATTCACTGCTGTGAGTATGTAACGTTAATGTTAATACTTCATTGGGATGATGCATTAGCCAAAAAAAAAAAAAACGCTTTTCTGCTCCTAACTTGCCATAATTTCAAACAGAGTGGGCGAAATGTGATTCTCCAGGATTGACTTTTAGCGAGGTTGTTGAGGTTCGTGGTCATCCATTGTGCAAAGAGGAGATTATAGAACTCACTCAAGAATCAATATAAGTACTTCTCTGATTTTGCTTATATGGTGGAAAGAAGATTAATTTTGATTATATGTATTAGGTATTTTATTATTTTTTATATTTACTTTTACCTTTTTGCTCTTATTAAATATTAAAAAAATTATTAAAAATATTTTTTTATTTTTATTAGATTATAAAGATGAAAATTAAAATAAAATTAACATGTGAATGATAATTTATAATAAAATTAAAAGAAATAAGGTGTAATGTAGGCCCCCCTATTTAAAGCTAGACTACAAGGCAGCTGGACGCTAACCAAATGCTAGCCTTTGGTAGCTACAGTGACATAACCCTTTGGCCTTTGCATTGAGTGTAATAATGAGCATTCAGTGAATCTGAAGAAAAATAAAATGTAGCCTGTTCAAAATATGGACTTTTTTCTTTATAAAAAAAAAGGACTTTTCTTTATATAAAGACAGAGGGAGTATATCATTTTTACAACATCTATCACCACTCGAAAAAAAAATTATTAGTTAATGTCTTTTATTTTAAAAAAAAAATATTTTTATACCAATCAATATCATGAAGTAATAAGTAATTCTAAGGCATTTCAGGTACAAAAGTATTAATTACACTGAAAATTTTATAAAAAAAAAAGTTAAATTAATTATATGTTATATTTATATTATATTCATTTGAGAAATTAACTTAAAATTTTGAATGAAATAAAAAGCTTGAAATCACAATGCTTCCTCCATCCTTGTATAAAGTGTTTCTAATCAAATTTTACATACCAATAAAAAGTTATTATTTAGTTAAAATTATATTAAATTATAATAATTTTTTAAATTTGCCCTTAATAATGTTTAGTAATATCATGGTGGTGGTGGGTGAAGCACCCAATTAAGATTTGTTCTCTTTTTTTTTTCATCAAAAAAATGACAAAATTATTTAATCATTTAAAAATATCATAACATCCTTTGCATTTAGGAACAAAATAGATTTTTAAAAAATATCTTACACGTAAAGACGAAAGGAGTAGTCAATAGCATTAAATTATTGTTTTTCATGGATATCCTTATTAATTATATTGTAAAAAAAAAGAGTATATAAGAAAGAAATTAAAAGTAATTAAGATATATTGATTTTAAATAGAAAGTAATCTTAAAACCTAGTGAATTGAGATTGATGATTCTCAATATAAGGCATTCCATGAAGTATTAACTACAGTTTTAATATTATTCTTATTTAAATTTATTAATTATGAAACAAAATATAATGCAAATTTGAAATTTTTACTTAAATATGAGTAAAATTTTAAAGAGAGAGAATTACAATCAAGTCTCACAAAAAAAAAAATAATAATAACTACAACATCCAAACTAAATTGCATTGACAACTTATTGTGTTATCAATGTAATTTAATTCATTTGTCAATAAATTTTTTAATAATTAATTTTCTTACATGGGACTTCAATGTAATTATGCCTTTAAAAAATTATTCTTTTTAATTTTAACAAACTTAATCACTTTTTTTCTAGGTCTAATGAAGTAGTTAAAGATGTGGTGTAGTGGCTTAAAAAAAGGAGAATAATAGTTAAATTTATGTCTCTGGTAATTTTTTTAAAAAATAAGTTGAAAATATAGATCCAAATATTAAGTATTAAACATAACTTTCAAACTATAGTAATAATAATTTATGTTTGTAATAATTTGAATTGATATTAATGACAACTTTGTTGAAATCTAACTGTCTTTATTCAATTTATTGGAATTGAATCATATATTAGAATGATGTTATTATCAAGGACAGAATCGAGTATTTCCTCCAATTTCATTTATAAGGCAAGTTTTAAAATATTTACTTGATATCATTTATAATTTATGGTACATCTTTTTAAATAATATTTAAAAAATATTTTCATAATTATTCCTCACGAGAAAGAAAAGTAATATAATATTATTTTTTGAATTTATTATATAAGAACATATTTAAAATTTTATATACTTTTATTTTTATTATTTTTTTAATCTCAATATTAATGAAATTGATAGAAATAATTTATAAAAAAATTATTAAGAGTATTATATAATTTTGCATTCCGCAAATGATATGAAACACCGAATCAGACAATAGGCAAAAAGACTCGAGGGGGGATCTTTGGATGCATCTTCGAAGACCATAAACTGAGGTGTGGTTTTGTGTGAATGGGAAACTTCCCCTTAGTTTAACTCCTCCAAGTCTTATTTCTAAAAACTCTATAATACTTGTGATTTATAAATTTCATGTTCGATTATTAAAATTAACTATCATCGTAAACAAATTACGAAAATTAACTACTTTGTTTTACGAGTATTATAGTATATATCGGACCATTTATCAAACAAATTGAAACACAGGATTATTTCAAACTGATTTTGTTAAATACAACGAATAATGAACTATGCCTGCATTAATTTATGTAGATTCGCAATTCTATAAGTTGAAATATTACTTTCACAGTTTTACCTATGATATTTTTATTGAAGCAGATTAGTGGGTTTGTGGACGTGGGGCATATCTTACATATAAATCCAGTTAAAGTCAAACTTTGCTTAAATCTTGTAAAAGTCAGAGCCAACGTGAGGAAAGAAAGACAGTTCTATAATGCAATGCAGCTGGAAACGACGCGCTTCTCCTTTTGCTTGGGAAACTAAATGCAGTTAGATGAACCATTCAATGTATGCTCCTGCGGTTTAATGTTCTGAAGCTACTCGCACTGAAATCTCCTGCCTGTAGGACTTACCTATTTGAGGTGATGGGGTACTGGTGGGTACAATGTGTGATATGGGAAAGAGCTGCATCTTTTTGTCCGATTTGAGAATGTCTGGTGAATCTCTCTGCTAGGCACTTTTGATGTAGATGACGATTGGAGCTGAAGTTGTTTTATAGCTCGTACCTTACTTTGTGAATGTGATAAATCTGTACAAAGGTTTGGTTTCAGAGTTTCCCTGATAGTCTACAAGCGCTAAAAACAGAGAGTACAAGTTCGCTGAAAGCTTTCTGGAGGAACCCTTCTAGTGGAAAAACCTTTGGGCGATAGTTTACTCTTTCGGAAGATCCATTAACAGCATCTTCTTCTGTTGGAGAAGAAACATGCAGTGATTCCCCAGAAGTAGTTCTGGTCAGTTTCTCACTCAGCATACCCAAACTTGGGAGTCAATGACATTGGAAAGACTAGAAACTTCCTTTTGGAATGCATTCTTCTTTTCTCATCCGTAGAGTGTAGCAGCATTTCTGTAAACTAGAGGTAGACTGTGCTTTGTAATATGAGTTATGCTTTTATAATTTCTGAAATTTGGTCTTCAATGAAGCCCATATTTTAGGTCAATTGAAGTTGGCCTGGTTGAAGTTTGGCGAGTTATCAGGGTACTTCACACCTCAAAATGGCAGAAAATGTAGAAATAAGGTCATTTGCCTTGACTCCAACTTGGTCTGTCGCCACCGTGTTGACAGTCTTTGTTCTTGTTTCTTTCCTTGTGGAGCGCTCCATTCACCACTTAAGCAAGGTAAGGATTGTTACAATCTTTATTGATCTTTTGATTGCTTTTAGTCTTAAATCCTTAGGGTAGCAAAAGATTTTTGGGTTTGCATCGAAAATGTGCATATAGTAAACTTCACGTAAGGAGATGTAACTAGACTTGTTAATGAGATTGGCGGGAGAAAGGGAAGGGGTAAAAAGAAAGTTTTGGATCAATAACCGAGAAACTTGGTTCATATATTTTGTACATTCTGAAGTGAACAACATCCTTAGTAGTTTCCTTTACTATCTCCTGTCATGTGGCTGTCTTCCTTCTGGTTCCTTAAAAATCATCAAAGTGAAACCGGATGTACCCGCCTATCAGGTGTAATTTTAAGTCTTGCGTTGTTTCTTGTATGTATGAAATGTGTGGAACATAGACATAGCTCGTTTTCTGAAGTTTTCATGGCCCATAGCTTTCTAGTATGATTCCTTCTAGTGCTTGGTCAGTTTCATTTTTGTGCCATCTTTGCCTAAACTCTTTGTTCAAGCTAAAGGTAAAAGAAAGAGCTCCAACTTCTAACGCAGTTCAGCCAAACTATGCTCAACAATGACATGTATTCCCTGGATTTTAACTTGTAAGAGAAATCTTTGTCATGATTTTCAGGCTTGATTAGTTTATCTTCTTTCGCACAGCCATCCCTAGTGAGTTGCATGTTTTCATAATATTAACTGTTCACTGTTAAATGAAATAATCTACATTGGAAAAAAGTGGATGACAAAAAGAAAGAAAGAAAGAAAGGTTTGATATGAATTCTGACGTGGTTGCATTTCTTTGTGGCTGCAGTGGCTGCAGAAAACTAATCGAAAACCCTTACTTTCAGCCTTGGAGAAGATGAAAGAAGGTACAATGCAATAAGTTCTACCGGCAATCTGCACTGCCCAAAATTTATGTATTATCTTAATCAATTAACTCTAATCATTTTTTGATTCTATCTTCAGAGTTGATGCTGCTTGGATTTATATCACTCCTATTAACGGCTACCTCAACAACGATAGCTAATATTTGCATTCCATCAAAGTTCTATAGTAGTACTTTTGCTCCATGCACTAAATCTGAAGTTGATGAAGAAAAGGAAAAGAATGAACCCCGAGAACGTATTTTGTTGATCGCTTCTACTTATCCACACTTGGTTAGGAGGATGTTGGATGGCATGAGTCAAAACTCCTGCAAAGAGGTATGTATATCTTAATGTTTAAAACTTGATTATTAATTAGCTTTCCCTTCTGCAGATTAATGTAGGCCAATTTGGAATTTGTTCTGCCGCACAGGGTCACGAGCCATTTGTTTCATATGAAGGTCTAGAACAGTTGCATCGGTTCATTTTTGTCATGGCGGTCACACATATATCTTACAGCTGCTTGACAATGTTATTGGCAATTGTAAAGGTGAGATATCATTTATAATAGGAAGACATGACCTGCTAGCATGTACTGATCATTGCAAAAATGAAGGGGGGGGGAGGGGGAGATTGATGTTCTGTTTCATTCTGATCAAGGCCTTGCCATGTTTTTTTCTTAAGATAAATATTGTGAGAGTGAAGCTAAAAAAAAAAACAGAGAGAGATGTTTGGTGTCAATGAGGGTTGAATGTTCTGTTCACTGCTTCAAATTGAATTGAATTAACTGCGTTAAACAGAAATCTTTTTGGCCCAAGATAAACAGCACTCCAGGAATATGAAACAAATTCATGTAGAAAATTCATAGTTTCTCTCGGGTGGTAAAATACCCACTTGGATCGTAAAGCATCAAGGTGCTATGATTTGGGTTTCTATTTGATATGGAAACAATGTGATAATGCATGCCAGATTCACAGTTGGAGAAAATGGGAGGATAAGGCTTGCATGGAACGCCATGATTCATTAGCTGGTGAGCTCAACATTGATTTTTATGCCTTAGTCAATAATATTCATGAGTGATTAATCACTTGTGTTTCTACAGAGATGACAAGAGAGTTGACATTGCGAAGGCAATCAACACTTGTCAAATTTCACACATCAACTCCGTTGGCCAGAAACAGTTTTCTGGTCTGGGTGGTAATTACGGAACTTCACTTTGTTTCTTCATTTTCTTCTTGTTGGATTTCATTTGTGTTTATTTTTAATGATGCATTTCTTTTAATACCTCATCAGATACATAGCATGCTCGTCCTTTCTTTCTTTTTTTTTTTTTTTGGGGGGGGGGGGAATTATCCCTTGGGGGCGCATTGAAATGATCTAGAGATCAGTTGTATTGCAAAATGCATTTCTGGATTATGCAACTATAGTGTAAAATAAGATAAGAAAGCTTACTGATTTTCTCATAATGGAGGAAGAGATTAAAATTCACTTCATAGTAGCCTTAATTGCACGAGTGACTTACATCTGTCGGTATTTATTGAGGCCAGGTTTGCTTTAGAAGATAGTTTTCTTGTTACCCTACACTCTCCTTGATTCTGTTTATCATTTCCTTATCACCTTTTATGTCTCAAGGAGATTTAAGAATCAACTGGGTCATATATCCAGGTGCTACTTTGATTTGTTAATCCAGAATAATTGTAAATCAATCTTATGTTAAGTTTAGTCAAATTACAGACATGTTTTTTCCGACAATTTGGACGTTCTGTGGTTTGTGCTGATTATCTGACACTCCGCAAAGGCTTCATTGAGGTATGCAAATGTCTAACTTGCGGTTGTTTTAAACATTTTTGTTCAAAAACTGCTTTATACGGTTCTTAATGCATCAAGTGAATCTTTATACTTGCTAAGCTCAAATAATTTTTCTGTTTATATGAATATCTGCCACACCATATGATAGAATAATAAATTGTATGACCCAATCCTATCTTTCTTGAAAAGCTGAAGAAAATTTAATGTTCCCCTCATCCTAACCTCAAACGGTTCTTAAAATGTGTTTATACAAGACTCGAACAACTTCACAAATTTGTTTGATACCTGAATTTATTTGGTCTCCTATTTGTTATGTTGTTACTTGGGTTTAAGTGTCTTTTTTTATCATACCCATCAGAATGTTTTCAAATTCTTTGGTGGCATGCACCACTTTGAATTGTTTACTCAGTTTGTTTTCCATATTCTTGGCAGAATCACAACCTCATGTTAACATACGATTTTCACAGTTACATGATTCGATCTATGGAAGAAGAATTCCAAAAGATAGTTGGTGTGAGGTTAGTAACAATGATCGTAATTCATTAATTGTCATGATATGATTGCAGCATCATGATCAGCACTGTAGGCATTTAATTTCTGACTTTCTGTTTATCAAATATGCTTGATCTGCTGTATCCATCTCTGCATTTTGGCACCTTTTATACTGTTAAATGAAAATCGTCAATGCTGTTACACAATCATGATGAAATATCTGTATCAATTTAATTTTAGTCTCTTAGAAAACAGCATATCTTACTTCTTTTTTTCCTTCTTTTTTCTAAAGTTAATACTCATGAAGTATTCCATAGCTAAAACATCTGTTTGCAAAATCATGCAGTGTTCCACTTTGGGGATTTGTCATTGCTTTCATGCTTTTTGATGTCAAAGGTATGGCTTATCATGAAAGGTTTCTACCTCTTTATAGGTCTTTCAACAACATGAAAAATTTCCTATTATATTACTTGGTTTTGTATATTCTTCTAACTTACACATTTCATATGTTTTCTGTTCTATCACAGGATCCAATCTCTATTTCTGGATAGCTATTATTCCTATCTCTGTAAGTGTTAGCCTTGTTATTTCTTCTTGCACTTATCCTTCTTTAGCTTATTGACACAAAATCCTTTCATTTTTCTCTTCCATGTGTATAACATCAACTCCTCATCCCCCTACTTAAACTTATACTGAAATTACATGAAGACGTTTACATCCTTTACTTGGAGTACATGGCACGTAACTTTTTTTTTTTAACCTGCCTGACTTTCTAAGTTCATAATAACTCTTGGATAGTTTTCATGTTCCACAGAAATGTATATGTTGAATTTCTTAAAAGGACATATTTTGTCTTAAGCTATGCATATTAGACCCTTGTCCTGTTCTTTCTGCATTTCATGGAGTCTAATGAATGAGTTACATTATTCATGGTTTGTGACTAGTGTGACTTACTATATATTTTATCATGTTTATTTATATATTGATGCGTGTTCTATATGCAGCTTGTGCTGTTGGTCGGAGCAAAGCTGCAGCATGTTATTGCAACCCTGGCTTTGGAGAATGAAGGAATCACTGGTTTCTTTTCAAAGTCAAAGTTGAAGCCCCGCGATGAACTTTTTTGGTTTAATAAACCTGATTTATTGTTGTCCTTAATCCATTTCATTCTTTTCCAGGTTGGGAACCTTTGCTCTACATGTCATGGAATGATTTTCTTATTGAGATTTGCTATTTTCAAACATGTTCTGATGGATGCATCTTGGTGTTCCTTGTTGTAGAATGCATTTGAGTTGGCTTCATTCTTTTGGTTCTGGGTAATTCCTTGCCCTTCTTAAGATGTTACTTGGATCTTAGAGAAGAACACTATTTTCAGCTGAAGAAAAGATATATTGTTAAAAAAATAGAGTAAATTTCAATTTTCTGTAAGGTTTGCTGAAATTATATAGACTTCCTGTCTATTCTTAAAATTAATAAAAAGAATAATAGTGGCTACTACCTTTTTTCAAGTTGCCTTAAGATATAACTAATCACTCTCCAAAGAAAAAGAAAGACCTGGATCCTTGGCAAATTCTTAGGGATATAGAAGCTACATATCCACTCTATATCGTTTAAACTAAACTTAGACTGCCTGAACTCTAAAGAGAAAAAAAGATTGAAACGAGAATCAAATTAATAAAACTAGAATTGTCAAGATCAAATATCTACCTTGCACATATGAGGGGATCCATTTGTGGAAATAATAGAGATAACAGAGACTGACTTGTGTTTTCCTGATTTAAATTTCTGTGTTCTACTAAAATGCCTGCAATGTTATGATTGCAGTGGCAGTTTGGATATCATTCCTGCTTTATTAGGAATCATCTGCTTGTGTATTTAAGGCTGATCTTGGGGTATGTAGAAATTTTGATTTATCATCTCAATCTCGTTAAATTAAGATGCTGAAAATAAAGTATTCTTAATTCCTAGGTTTGCTGGGCAGTTTATCTGCAGCTATAGCACCTTGCCTCTCTATGCACTTGCCACACAGGTAACTTCATATTCAAATTATTGAAATTTGTCCCCTCCTGCACATAGGTGGTGAATAAAAAGCAAGTTCTTTTTTCCCTTCTCTTTTGCATATTCAAAAATGGACCCTGAGTATAGTGGATAAACTTGGAGACCAGATTAAACTGAGACTCTTTATATTGAAGAATAGATCATTCATATGTTTTGCCACTTTCATGTCTCATGTGGTAACAGCTTTCCTATGTTTGATTCAGATGGGAACAAACTATAAGGCTGCATTAATTCCACATAGAATAAGGGAAACTATTCATGGATGGGGGAAACAAGCCAGGAGAAAGAGAAGACATGGTTTCTTGACTGATGATTCCACCATACATACAGACACAAGTACAGTGTTGTCTATCGAGGAAGACGACAACCAATCAGCTGAAGACCTTCCAGCTGCCCCCAAATCTGCCATCGCTGGTAACGACTTAGAATTACTACCGGTAACTAGAGCTACATCTTCTCCATCAGCCATTGCAAATGAAACTTCAAGCAGGGCAGCTACACCTCTCCTTCGCCCCTCTGCTTCAGTTTCTACATCAGCATCATATAGTTTTAGAATAGGAGCAGTTTCAAGGTCCTCTTCTTTGCCCACGGGAAGAAATAGAAGATGGAAGCCTGCTTTGTCTAGGTGAAAAAGAAATTGGATGTCACAATGATGAAGTTGGGTTTTGTATGATTTGTTATAGTGCTGGTGAGGAGGTTAGTAATCAAGACATTAACAAATTGTATACAACTTACAGGAAACTACATTATTCATTCAGTTACTCTGTCCATTAGCTATTGCAAATGAGGCTACCAGTAGGGCTGCATGCCACTTCTTCTCTGCCCTGTTTAAATATATTTATAATATTGGTTAGGAAATTAGTAATTTCCATTTATAATGCTAAAGGGATCAAAATAAAGGCTTCCAATAGCATACTGGCCCTGTTTTGCGTTTGTCTTTTCTCGGCAACCATATATAGGCCTAGACAAATATAGCCATCATTGCTACAGTTTACAACAATGATACTTCAAAGTTCACTTAAAAGTTTAAGATTCTAAATTAAAGTGATTTTTTACTGTACCAAAGCTTCTATGACGAAGAGATCAATATTCAATTCTTGTCACGTTCTTTCTTCCTGATCCATGAAGCATGGAATGGATGCAGTCTTTAGTTGCATCAATGTGTGGGATGCTGATAATGACAGTGCCACAAACTGGGCAGTGCTTGTTGCTGAGTCGTAAGATAAATAGAAAGACTAATTCATGTCACCCATTAGTGATAGAATGTTAGGTCAAATTCCTTGCAAAATTACTGTCATGGAGGCTTTTAGTTAAGGCAGTCCTTGAGACCACGATTGTCCTGTAACAAATTATTTACTTTCTAACATGTTTGAAATTATGACGTTTTGCCACCACGTGCATGCAACCATGTTCATGTGATTCGTTCATCTCACTACTAAATACCTCAACTTATGAAAACCGTTTCATTAAAGCAATGACATGTATAGCTGCCGGCATGACGCACTAGTTCAAGTCTATCAATGTGTTTCTTCAATTCATTAAAGCAACAGACATCCTTTCTCGTGTGTTTCTTCTTACACATTCTCAGCCACTTCCTGTTGCTTATTATAAGCCGTATTTATAAAAAATTAAGGCTTTAATTTCAGATCAGCATGTTGGAAACGGCAGTGTTACTGTTCCTGCATGTCTAAATAGTATTTGAGGACAAGCTTTTCATATGCTTCAATGAGGTCATGTTCTTCAACTGGCGATGCAGCATATGCTGAATTGATGTAGCTTCCATCTACCACTGTTGATATCTGGTGCATCAAGTTTTATTAAATACAACTGTTTCGTCAACATTACTGTAGAAAGCAGAGTCAAAAGAAGGGTAGACGAGGAAATTGTGTCAATGAAAGGAGAATAAGCTGTATAGTTGTACACATCTCTTCGTCTACAAGATAAAATATCTTTAGTTTTTCTCAATCTTAAATTAATACACAATTACACATAGATACACCTAAAGAGAAATTTGCCAAATTATTTGTATAGCTATTGAATTGAGTATAGGTGGAGGACTATCTGCTGGTCCCTTAGTTATAGAATGACAACTTCTATGAGATGCATATCTACCAAAATTTTGATTTGGTGTGAACGCGCTGACACGCATATTTATAGTTTTCAGGTCTATGTTCTTATAAAGATTTAATAAGAGGATTCATAGTCTTGCTAAATATTACTTTTTCGTTTATTTATGTTCTGCAAATGAAGAAGCGCCAAATCAAACAAGAAGACAGGAAGTGTTTATCTTGAATTCATTATTGTACTTTGACTTGGTCCAGCACAGTAAATTTATCACGCTAAAGGGATCTAAATAAAAATTAGCTAATCACAAGATCAATCTGACATCTATTCAAAATAAGATTCCAGGTTTTTTCAATATATTTGAAAGCAATTATCTATTTCAGTGATCAACAGCAAGAAACAGTAGCAACTATGCTAATACTGTCTACGCACAACGTAGCATATAAGTATAGCATTGATTCGACAGAAAATGGAGGACGTTCGACATGAGGAGACCTAATTGACTAATTCTGATGACTCTGAAATTCTGCTATACGCTCAACACAGATTTTTCATAAAATCATAGTGTACCATGGTTAGGTGCCATTGTCATTTGTTTCTCCTGATTCCATAGCCTTCAAGCCTTCTGCCAGCATCCTCTCCCTATTTTGTAATTTTCTTTCCGCCGCAACCATATATAAGCCTGGTTAAGTATAGCCATCATTTTTAGAATTTAAAAGAATTTTATTTATGAATGTTCACCAAAAAGCTAAGTTTCTAAATCAATTTTTGACAAGGCACCGGAGCTTCCATGACTAAGTGATCAACAATCCAATCTTAGCCCCATTCATTCTTCATAATCTAATAATACTCCTTATTTCAGTTGCTTCGGTGTATCGGATACTGACACTGCTACAAAATATTGCGGCACACTTCCAGCCCCCAAATGGATGTGTGAAAAACTACAATTTTAAGTTCAGTCATGAACTAGACACAGCATGCCCCGAGAAAATGGAAATCAGAGTAATAATATGGTTTAGCATATTTTTATTTCAAAGATTTTCTTTTCTTCGAAAATAATAGTTTCAGGCAATTAAGGCAATAAATAATATATGTTTGTAGTATCATGTCATATTCAATATCTCTGAAGTTTGGCATTTAACACTTCCATGCATCAAAGTACATAAATAAATGAAATTTCAGCACAAGGTATAGTGCCAGGTGCACTGTTCATGCTTCGCATCTAAATAGAGGGCTTTCATATGAGAAAGCAAGTCAGAAATTATAATAAATTATCAATCAGTTTTCACGCAATTTTTTTTTTTTTTTAAGGAAAGTTTTCACGCTAAGTTTAAATAAGGAGGGTTTTGATTTTGGCAATCATTATAATAAAGAAAAATATGATAACAACTAAACAAAGCTTTTGTTTTTGGGGGGGGGGGATCAAAGAAATTACAGCACATAAATTACTGGTTAATTTGGGAAAAGAATTTGTGGGAAGAACCTATATAAAAAAGGTGAAGAATGCTTACTGACAGCACTTCCAATGGCACAAACCCAGAGAACTCTCATCGACCATTTATCACTGATTACTCCTCTGGATCCCATGGCTGGCTGAAACAGAGAACTATAAAACAGCTTTAAGCATAAATGATTCCAAAACATTTCAGATTGTAAAGGGTAGAAATTTAGTTACTGCCTAAGCTTTTAAAATACAGGTCATATGCCACATCCAAGCTCACATTAGCAAGACAGAATTTGTTGAACTCTCAACTGGACACTTGGCTTATTCAACAAATAAAAGAAAATTTGACAAAGAAGAAAGGCATAACATCAGATTTTCATGCTTACTTTGGAAAACGCCAATTAATATGATTTACAAACAACATAATTACAGCTGAGAAAGCATTTGAGACCTGATTCAAGTATCCTCCAGGCCCTGGAATAGTTTGTGAAACCTTATAAATTTTTATAGCTATGCAATATGTCTAATAGTGCTTTTAAGGGGGTGCGAAGGACAGGTAAAAAATATTTCTAAGGTTTCCAAATAGCTACCAAAATGGAAAGCCATTGTAATAAACACGAAGAGGGTGCAGGAGGAATAAGGCATCACTGCAGCCATAGGCGGACCTATATTGCACTTAGTGGGGGCATCTGCCCCCGCTGAAATCTTTGAAATATGCGTAGTTGATATAATTCCCTTTTAAATTTTGTTCCAGATACTTTGACACAACTCGAGCCCAGTCATTTACAAGATCATACATCACAAATACCTTGAGAATTTTCTAAATTGACGATAATATAAAGATATTAATAAACAGAACGCCAATACACAATAAATCCAACATTGCAAAACTACACAATCCAAAGCATACAAGCAGCGAGTAATCAAAAACTAAGTAAAAATTCAAAAGCGTCAATATTCAAAAGAATACACGACCAGATTCAAAGCCAAATTTAAATGAAAAATTTAAAACAAAGCAAGGACAACCCCCCAAGGAAGATATGATGCGGAGAACAAATTCAAATGTAGATTCAAAACCAGATTGAACATATCAATCTCACCAGATTTTGGGAAAGCCCTAAAGTTCGAACCTTCTTCGCCACTCGCCTGAGAACAACCACACAGGGCCGACAACGGCGGACAGCGTCCGACGCAGTGCGGAATACCGGTTCGTTCGACGGAGAAAAATGGATCCGCTACTTATTAGTCCCTGTTTGCATAGTCAGATCAATCAATTTTAGAAGTGGTTTTATCAAAATCAAAGTATATATAACACTTACCAATTAGACGTCAAAATAATTATAAAACTAAAATTATTCTCTTCTTAAACATATTTTTTTTGGGCAAATTCTTAGATATATTCAAACACTTATATTCATGTCAAAATTAATTATTATCTATTTTTTAAAATTAATCTACAGGTGAATTTATAAATTAGTTTATCGAAACTCAAATTTAAAAATAAGAATAAATGGAAAATTGATTGTTCACATAATAAAATTAATTAATTCAAATTGTAAAATCCATATTAGTTTTTTGAAAAAAATGACAATTAAGGATCCCATAAAATTAGTGATTATAGTTAGAGACTTTGAATTATTAAATTCAAGTAATGGATCATAATTCTTATTTGGTATTAAAATAGCTGATCGAGTTTCGTTTAAAAAAATAAGAAAAAACATTATTGAAATTATTATTATTATTATTATTATTATTATTATTAATTGGGACAATTGTTAAACTCAATCGAGAAAACCTAGATTCATAGTTAGAAATGGGATTAACAATAGATCAAACCCATAATAATAATTTCATTAGTCCCAGCTCATAATACTTGGAATCCTATTTTCCTAACTGATTAGCAATAGTTACAACCTATGATAGCAATTTCAATAATGTATTTTCATGATTTTGCAAGTAATTTACCTATATGTTTTTCAAGTGATTTACTTATAAGAGTTATTGATTTTATATTTAAAAGTGACTTTAATAAATTTTAAAATAACTATCGTGTATTTACAAGTATTTTTTAAAAGTTTTACAAGTGAATTTTAGGTTGTGGTCAATTACTCTTCATGATGTTCTAAACGAGCCTAGCTACATAACTTGAGATGCTTTTGTAGGACAAAGATGTGTATTGCATTCTAATATGTTAAATATTCTATGATTTGTTTAATATACTAATTAATTCCTTATAAAAATGAATTATTCTACTTTCTATTTGTATTTTTTTTTCAGGGTGATTGAATTAGAACTTTTATCAAGAAAGGAGTTATTCGTCACCATTCTTAGTTTCTTCATAAAGGTCATACTTGCGTTCTCACACAATTTATTACTATTGAGAATTTTGGATCATATAGTACTGGATCATATAGAACCACATGCAATGCTTTTAAGGTGATGTTCTAATATTCAACTGTTGTGCAACCTGTGGTGGTTAACAACAAAATCCATTCTCACAGGTTTTGCTTCCTCCCATTTGGTGATATCATCTATCATGGTTCGAGGGAGGAATATTTAGTTGATGAGTCATTCTTTTTTAATACATTCTTCTTCATTTCCGGTTTCATATAACATAAAGTTTATTCTTTATAAATGCAAATATCATCAGGAGACTTGTTGCAATTAAGGAGATTCAAAAAGCTATTATCAATGGATGATAGGAGTAAAGGCTTGATATACAATTTGATGATGATAAGGATATAAATATGCTCACTTCTGTTTGTTTTTAGTATTTTGCAACAAGTTTAGAAATTAAATTTCATTATTTACTATTTTTTTGTGAGAATAAATAGGAGAATTTATGTTAAAGTTACTTTGTGGGGTGCATTTGCCAATTATGTTCTTTGTTATATGAGAAGTCCCACACATTGTCCTATTATCATGATTGTTCAATGATGCAAGATACAAATTTCAAAGGCATGTGACCATGTTGACATCTAATTGCTCAACCAATGCTTTAGAGACATGTCACATCATGGATATTCATAGTTGTGGTGGTTTTTTTTCCCAAGTATTAAAAAAGTTTCCCACTCTCTTTTTACTTCCCATTTATTCATTCATCCTAACATAGATTAAGTCAACACCTTTACTAAAAGGTGCATTTTACACATTTTAATATTCCAAATAGAATCTCTTATATTATAATATTTAATATTCATTTAAATTTATTGACTACTTCTTTGACTTTAGGCTCAAAGTTGTTGGTGTAGAAATTGAGCAAAGGTCAATTCACCTTCCTAATCAACCTACATTAAGTGTTAAGGATGAGACCTTACAGTACCCAAATCGTAGATATATATACCAACTTTGTGGAGGCCACTTGTAATTTATTTCTCTCCTTTATGTTGTATGTGATTTAAGTTTAAAGTCATTAACTAAAAATCTTAATTTATGGTCAATGATAGGATACTAATTGCATTATCTATGCTAAGGTTGTTAGTGTTGACATTGAGCTTGGATGGTACTATATCGACTATCAAAAGTGTGCAAAAAGGTTCTTCCTAATGGTGATGGTTTTTCTATAACAAGTGCAATGAGTTTGTCAAGTATATGTCTCCAAGGTATGAAACTTATACTACTCTCTATTAGTTTTAGTGTGGAAAGTGTTTTTTGTGGATGGTGTGTTCATTGGTTTTTTCTATGTTATATTCAGGTTTCGTGTGTGGTGTCATGTTTATGATACATCTAGTTTAATTGATGACCTTATCTTCGACAAGGAATTTGCTACCTTCATAAAATGCTTTGCTGCTGAACTGAAAGAAAGCATAGGAAGGGTGAGTCATTAAACTACAATGGTCATGTTTTTTTAGTTTATGATGCTTTTATATATATATATATATATATAGAGAGAGAGAGAGAGAGAGAGTTACATTACACATCATGTTTTACATGGTTGTGCATTATAGATGGATGCCACGGATGTATTTGAAGGTGAGATTCTTTTTCCATGTTCGAATTCCAAAGGTTATGCGAAGGGCCTCCCTTATGGTATTATAGTGAATTGAATGACTGACAATGAAGACACTATGAAGAGCTTTTTAGATAAATGGGTTCTGCAAGCACTGTCACCTAAATGTGTATTACAAACACCCTCAGTTGAGAAAATTATATGTTCTCTTTTTACCCTATATAGATATTATGGTTTTTTTTTTGGTTTCTGATCTATCACATCCATGCTGTTTTCATTGAAGGAATTTGCCAAAGATAGTTGCTCAACCCTTACTCCATTAGCTGGTGGTTAGCATGTTGAAGAGTCTCATATTGTGTACTACTTGCACAAAGGGAAGAAGATTAAGGTGGAGCCAGATGAGGAGCAATAGCAAATTGTTAATTTTGCTAGACTTTACTTGAATTTTCCATTGTCAAGCTTTCTTTTGTACAGGCTTATTATTGTTTTATTTTATGCCGTCGAACTTAATTTATTTATGCATCCATTTTATCTTTGCGATTTGTACTTTATTTTATTTTATATAACATAGATTGTAGAGTTGGCATTGATCTAATTCATTTATTTTTCTCAAAATCAATTTATTATTAATTAAATAAAAAATGCTGATCTAAACAAGTTTTTAAATTTTTCTGTTTAAAAAAAAAACAATTTTTGAAAACCAAAAACAAGTATCGTACGCTGGTTGCTGCCAAAGTATGGGGGAAGTCCAAACGCTCATTATTTTTTCACTCTTGCCTTATGATGAACTAAATGTAGCCTTAGTTTTTTACAGGACACAGTTTAAACTAAATTATCAGTTGTTGAAATATGATTCTGAATTCTCGTCAAATATGATTCTGAATTCTCGTCATGAGAGGATTTAGGCGAATTACACAACTATTTCTCACTAGTTAAATGGTGGGTCTGAGGTGAAACACATAGTTTATGATTTGTAAATAATGCAACTTCCAATAAACTTTATATTGATATGTTGACTTCTTTGTTTAGAAACAAATGTACTATTTGTTTTTTTTATAATTGTGCAATTATCAGTTGTTAATGAAACTAACAGCACCTAATGTTACTCAATGCAGCCTGAAATTCCCTTCCTTTCAGTCTTTTCCTCCACAAAGAGGCTTATGAGTTACAGCCTGGGGTCTGTGGCTCTTGGCTCTCTAATTGTGTCATTTGTTGAATCAATCCGCTTTCTGCTTGAATCTATTCACTGAAAGCTAAAAAATCTCTACTCACACACCTGACAGCTGCGTAGGCAAGGCTGCATCCCGAACTTCTCAATTTTTTCTCAGATGTATTGAGTGGATCATAAAATCAGTGAACCGGAATGCTTATGTCATGGTAAGGTTTTTAATAGACAATAAATTGGAATTAGATTTGCATGCATGCAGCTTTTGATAGACATGTTGATCATCATGATGCAGTAAATATGTAACAGATATTAACATATTAATGGCAAAATTGAATAAAATTTCATCCTCCTGTAGTTTTTGCTTGTAATCAGCTTGCTTTGAGAGAGACTGGGAAAACATTGAGACTTTATTTTTTTTTGGGTAAAGAGAAAGGGCAAAAGCCCAGGAAAAAAAAAAAGAAAAGAAAAGAAAAACTCTGATGCCATACTGGGAAAGAAGGGAATAATGCTATGTGGGTTTTGCCCCAAGCCCACTAATCCTAGGCACTTGCTTAATCCCTATTGTCATATTCACTATCTGAGATTCTGAATAGATGAATTTCTGCAGATAATAGAGGGTATAACATTTGCGTTGAAGATGACATGTTTATGACAAAATAGAGCTTCATGTCTATAAATTCAATTCATTTGATTTTAAGAGAAATCCAGTTATGTCCTTTTGGGCACTTGAACATGAGAGAAGGTCCTAGCCAGTTGATGTCCAGTTCCCAGACATGTATTAGTTGCACGAAGCAAATGTTGGTACCTTCTGAGCCAAGAATAACAGAGTGATGATCAAGTCCGGAAATTTTTTTGCTAATATTCGATTGGGTTTCTCATTTCTCTTCTTCCTTTGTTAATGAGCTGCTTCTGATTAATCCTTCGTTACCAGTTGAAGCTAACACACTTGATCTTCACCTATTTCTGCGTTTAACTTTTCTTGTATCTGCTTGCAACTGCAGATTGCTTTAACTTTTATAAGCTAGAGGGATTGACTTACAGATTGTAAGGATGAAATAATTAATTTTATTTTTTAAAAAATAAACAATGAATGTGGACCTAATTCTCGATATCCTGAAATAGGCAAGGAATAGAATACTCTTTGTGGATACCAAAACAAAATAATAATAATAATAATAATAGTAGTAGCAGCAGCAGAAGAAAATAAAAGAACATTTTGCCTTTTTTTTTTTGTGCAAACATGGCCCAAATATAAAATTGAATAATTCACATCATAACACATGGGAAAGAATTTAAGATCATAAAACAGGGCCCAAATTCATTTCAGACAAAAAGGCCCTTTATTTTTCTGTGAGCAAAAAGCCTTTTAATTTTAAAATACCTAAAATAACATCACCATCGCTTTTTTGATGTGAATTAATTTTGTTTTTTTTTTTAGTTGCATGGATGTGTCCATGGCTTTTTTATTAAGGAAAAAAAAAAGAATATCACGAAGTAGAATCCACAACTAAAACTTGAGCGCTCTGTTCAATTAGTTGAAGAGTTGAATCAATTTATTTTAAAATTTTAAATATATATCTTTAAATATACAGTCATGTGAAATAAAAATGTCAAAAACATCCTTAAAATATATGTAAAGTTGCCATTAATAATAACAGTATCACGCTGATTAATTTGGGACTTCAAGCTGATGGTGGTAATACCCCTAGATTTTTTCAAGATACCAAGATGGAATAAAAATAAATAATTAAAGGTCCAGAAATATAAATTTATAATATCAATCTATCATAAAACAACTGGAAAGTATCATACAAAATGAAGCACCAGAAAAGAAACATGCTCACACTTAGAAGCACAATTAACCATAAATAACCCCAGATCTTGTAATTTGAAGTGACATGCCTGCCATTTATAGCACAAATAACCGCATTCGACGAGCAGGGAATGCTTGTTTGTTGAAGAAAATAGTACCTGTGAAAATCAACCATTATAAAATTAAAATTATTTTTTTAAAAAAAATCCAAACATTCATATATATATATATATATATGTAGGTATGTATGTATGTATATAATATGTATGTGTCAAAACAATTATTACTTACTTATTTACCAAAATTAATTTTAAAAATCAGTTATATCTAAACTCAATTTTTTCAACGCAAGTTCAAAAGTAATAATAAGAATTGGTGGAAAATTAGTTACTCAAATAATAAAATGAATTACCCTAATAGTAAAATTCATAATTTTTTTGTAAGAAACGGAATAAAATTTGTATTATTATTTATACTATCATGGTCTTTTTACTTCAGTATTATTATATCAAATTTAAAATCGGGCTACTCTCAAACCCTTTTCTTTTTTATGCCCGAACGTTCCCTACTAAATAGTGCACAAAAAATCTTCCAGGGTAAATAAATTTTTTACAAGAGTTTTATTTGAACATTTTTATTATATCAAATGCACTTTAAAATTAATTTTTTTTATTCCAATTCCTTTTCGGATTCCCATTCCTTCAAATAATAATAATATTAATAATAATAATAAATTAGACGAGACCGACTTTTACAATGTTTAATTGGACAATACATGTAGCCATGCACCATAGCTTTATATTGTAACAAGATGTATATACACAATTGGCTCTTTCAGAATCCATAGCTCAATAGCAACTACAGTAATAATGGTCCATCGTCGGTATGCACAATCCAAAACATGAATATAACTATTGCACCCAACAATGTCACCCAGGAATCTCCAAATGATTGTGTTAAAGCCACACTTACTAAGCTGACTATTCAAGCAACTCTACAACCAAACCCATATGCCAGTTTGCCAGTTCTTTATCCCAATAAAAGAAACCATATGCCAGTATGCCAGTGCAGGAAGGACAAGATACATTCTCTTCAACCAAAAAATTCCAAGTTACATTCTCCAGATAAGGATAATGACTATTGAGTAATCCCTAATGAATGGGTTTTACTGTGCTCCAAGTAAAATAAACATGATACATCCTACATAAACCATCCGTTTAATAAGATAAAAAAGACTAGTTAAAAAGGCATTCCCATTCCCCAACACAGGAAGCCTTGGTCCAGCATTGTAAACATTAAACATATATATACAAGGGAAGAACATGAACAGCTCAGGTGGCAAAAGTAGGCCATTTATGAACATCCAAATATTGAAACTGTTGAAAGTTACACAAGGATCTATCTTTATTGAGGTCCTTGTGTAAGCCTCTGCATCTCATTTTGGTCATTGAGAGTTTCAATGAGAAGAGGAGGAGCATACTGGGCTGTCCCTTCATGTTCTTCAGCATCTTGGCAGAATGACAGAATGATGGTATCGATTGACATCTCTACGACAGCAAAGAAAAGAGTCGCAACGATATACCCCAGAGCCCAGCAGACCTGCATCACATAATATTGAAAAAAAGGTAGTGATTATCATTCACACTTTGTTGGACTGTTTTTCCAATAATTTGCAGTATCTTTCCACTCTTATAGCCTGTTTGGCCATGCTTTTGAGCAAGTGATAGTTAAAATTTTTTCTTCTAAAAAGGTTTGAGATCAATGCAAGAAGTTCTGGAACACTAATGAACCATTTTTTGGAACTGCAAGCTATAAAGTTAACATAACAAATAGCAATCCAAACCAACTCTTCATCACCCTAGAGTCAATCTGTTTAGAAAGGTTTCATCAATTCAAAGATGAATCACCATCATTGATGCATTTCCCCCTTTTTGGGCCAGATTCATCGTTAATGCTTTTGATAAATGGTAATTGATCTTCATTGCCCGCTAGAAAACATACCATGACAGGCAAAAGGGGAGATGATATCTTGTTATGAGAAGATCTGTATTTGTGTGCGTCCAGCATGAGGAAAGCAAACACAGCACTTGCAAGGCTGACACATAGCTTTCCAAGGAACAAAATGACATCTCCAATCACATTCACACGCCCAATTCGAAGGATGTTATTCATGATCAATTCTGTGGCAATCGCTGAAGCGTGAAAGAAACTTTTACCAGTTATAGCAATCTGCAGTTGCAAGCAGATATTCAAGAAAAGTTAAATGCAGAAATAGGTGAAGATCAAGTATGTAAGCTTCAACTAGTATATAACGGGGAACTGGACTTCTGAATGATACCAATATTTGCTATGTGCAACTAATACATGTCTGGGAACTGGATATCAATTGGTTAGGACCTTCTCTCGTGTTCAAGTGCCCAAAAGGACATAACTGGATTTTTATTTTAAAAAAATCAAATGAAGACAGAATGAATTGAATTTAAACATGAAACTCTATATTATCAGAAACAAGTCACCAGCAGCATAAATGTTTCACCCTCTATTATCTGCAGAAATTCATTGATTCAGATAGTATGACAACAGGGTTTACACAAGTGCTTGGGCTTCCAATGGAAATACTAACCCTCATAGGACCCAATTTACATTTACAAAAAGACATACAGGGTGCCAGGCTAACAAATCAGCAAAACCCACTTAGCATTACTCCTCTTTTTTTTTTTTTCTAAATATGGCATCAAAGTCTCAAGCTCTCTCAGTCTCTCGAAGCATGCTGATTGAAAGCAAAAGGTACAGGAGGATGAAATTTTATTCCATATTTGCCATTAATATGTTGCTATCTTTTGCATATTTACTGCATCAAAATGATCAACATGACTATCAAATGCTGCATGCATACAAATCTAATTCTAATTTCTCGTATATTAAACTTTACCATGATATAAGCATTCCGGTTCACTGATTTTATGATCCACTCAATACAGCTGAGAAAAAATTGAGAAGTTCGGGATGCAGCCTTGCCTATGCAGCTATCAGGTGTGTGACTAGAGATTTTTAGCTTCCGGCGAATAGATTCAAGCAGAAAGCGGATTGATTCAACAAATGATACAATTAGAGAGCCAAGAGCCACAGAACCCAGGCTGTAACGCATAAGCCTCTTTGTGGAGGAAAAGACTGAAAGGAAAGGAATTTCAGGCTGCATTGAGTAAACATTAGGTTGTTAGTTTTATTAACAACTGATAATTGTGCAATTATCAAAAACAAATAGTACATTTACTTCTAAACAAAAATAGCAAAACCAAAGAAACCATTACATCAATATAAAATTAATAGGAAGTTGCAATATTTTTGCAAATCATAAACAGTGTGGTTCACCTCAAACTTTGTGAAGCACAAGATCCACAATTTAACTTATGAAAAATAGCTGTAAAATTGCCTCGACACTTTGGGGTAAACAATTCATTTCGCCCAAATCCCTCATCATATTATACTGACATGATATTTAATTGAATAAGAGTTCAGACTCATTTCAACAACTGATAAAGCTGCATCTTATATTGATCATTTAGTTTAAACACTTATGAGCCAAATAGTAAACTGTGGACCCGTAAAGACCAAGACTACATTTTGCTCATCATCTGGTATTTAAGAAATATTGGCAACAAAAGCAAATTTATCCTCCAAATTGCATTATTCAATTATGCATAAGGAACTGTGCAAACTTACAGATGTTTCCCCACGACCCCAGTAATAGGAAGCAACAGATCCAGCAATCACTGTTGATGAGCATGCTATGAAAAATTGAGTAGCCCAATAACAACCAAATAGGTGAAAAAGGATGGCAACTCCAATATGTGGTGTGTATCGAATGCTATATCCACAACAATTGTCGCAGTTCACTCGTTTGCCAAGAGATCATATGCACAGCAGTTAGAGTCGCATTTATTTTGAACAACCTCACCAGAACTGAACAAATGGAGAGCAGCCGATATCCACAACATGTAGAATACTGCAAGGATACCACATGGCAAGAGTGGAAAAATAATGAGTGCTTGGACTTCCCCTATCACTTTGGCAGCAACCTGCAGACAGATTTAAACCAAATTAGTTAGATTGACTGACTCATCTATTGGATAGAAAGATGGATCATCACTTCACTCTTACTAATGGTCCCACCATTGCAGAAATGTACCGATGAGGGAATGAAATGTTCAGATTCTAAGTTAGATTAAGCTGTGGAATGTGGATACTACACTTGCTAGATGCATAACTAGAAAAATTAGTATGTTTTAAGACATTCTTTTCATAGCACAGATATATACACGTAACATGCCGCAAATGATTTGCATGTAACGCTACTCTCTGTGTGGTACTTGAACTCCACAAATACACTTGCGTTGTGCTTTTCTCATGTGCCATCCAAACAACTAAAATATTTTGACAATGTTAATATTAACAAATACACGTACAGACAATAGGGACATTCTTCAATATCTTTGAAACCAAACCCTAGTCAACAATTTATGTTCTTTCTAATTAAAATTAATTAGCAAAAGTAACAACAACAACAACAACAAGCCTTTATCCCATTAGGTGGGGTCGGCTACATGGATTGCAAGACGCCATTGTGCTCTATCAATTAGCAAAAGTAAGTGAAACTTAATCCTAGTTTCTTAACTACATTTCATATAGTGGATGTGCTTGCCTTAAGGACAGATGTTGCCATAAGGATTCGTCGAACAATAGCAATTGATGTAAGAATGGCAACAGCCATAATAAAGGTCATGAGGACAGCAACACCACGCAGATGATAAAGCTCCTGAAAATGAACACGTGTATGTGAAATATATTATAAAAGCATCAAAATACATAGACACGTACAGGAAGAGCTTCTTAAGGGTTTGCTTATTTATGGTACTTACCCTTCCAAACACATGAATGTACGGGTCATGCTCACCAATGATGGGAGAAATAGCATCATTTCCTATCCATCCAGCTGAAAGTCAATAAAACAAAACAAAATCAGCATCATTGTCAGACTGATCTTCATGCAACATTTAGAAAAAAAGATAGATTCTACAATTTTATGGCAACAAATTATGTAAACAAATATTGTAGGACTGTGAATCACCAAGGAAGCATAATAATAAGTATTTATCCTACAAAATAATACAATTTTTATTAATCGACAACCAGTAACCCCCATATCAGTATACAAGCTCTAAGGCATTGAAAATTAAACTATGTGAACTAGCATCTACTGCGTTCTAAGATTTCATAATACAAATGCATCATAATTGAAATCTCTAAATTTTAATTTGACCACTTTCTTTAGAGGGAAAATAGAGATGAAGGACTGCTAGAAAAAATTTATATCAGTTAAGGACTAGTTGTTATCAAAATTTGAATGGAAAAAAACCCAAATAGATTATTGTTAATTTAAAATAAGTGGTTGTTAAAACCTAAATAGATATTTGTTGATAAAAGACCAAATCCAAATTGACAAATATCTATTTGAGTTTTGACAACATATAATCCTTGACTAATATAAATTTCCTCCAGCGGTCCTTGATTGATATATTCCCTTCTTTATATCGCAAGTAATAATATTTTACCATACTATGGATGAAAGAGTAGAATTTTTATAACAAATGCAAACTGAAAAATGAATTAAACCATGCAGTTGACAAGGAAACAAACACTCAAATCATAATGCAGTTATAAAGTAATATCCCCTTTAAAACACAAATATTTGGTTTATCAAAATCCAGATAGAGATTCCAACCTTTTAGGTAGTAGTACATTGTGACTGATATTATGAGAATATTAAAGAGCATCACTGTTATCCAAGGCATTGCAACAACAAAATGTCGAATCATCAGCAGCCAAATAACTGACAAAAACAGAGGCAAAATCCCTCCACAAACTATCAGCACAGGCCATGACTTTCCTATGTCAGCCATGTATCTCTGCAAATACAGGTAAATGATGAAACTACAAGATTACTCAATTGCAGCACATAAGATGCATAATGCTCAAGGGAAATATATACAAGGCAGCTCTGAAAATTACAACTAGAAGTGGGAGAATGTGAGAATGCTTGACAAAACTACATATCTATAATACTAGCACCATAGCTTTATATCCTTGTCTTAGTCTACCATTCCTTCCATTGTCACTCCTTCTCAGTACATTCTAAGTATTTAAAAGTTTATCATTAACTGTATCAAGTGCAAACAGCTCTGATGGTATCAAGAGAAGAACTAACAAGCCAATAACGAGGTATATAAGGTTAGAGCCAAGTGTAAACACAATTTACAATCATAATATTCATAGAGGCATGTAAAGTTGAAACTTAATAGAATTCAACCTTCAAGACAACTGAATGAGAATTGATTGAGTTGTGAACAGATTTATCTATAACAATGTCCTCATTGATGTTAACTCCACCCATCTGCTGCCAGTGCTTTAAAGACACATTTGATGCTCGAGCAATAAATTGGCAACTCCAGTAAACTAGACAAAAAGAATGACAGGAACTCCCGCATTAAAGAATTAGCAATTAAAAAGACAAACTAACCCCTCACCCCCCACAAACAAAAAATACATATTTCTTACAAGGAGCATACCCTTCAACCAAGGTCCACGAAGAAGAAGTACGAAAATATGGAATCCATAGTTTGCTTACCATTTACACTTGGAAATATGACAGGATAACAGGGACCCTGAAGTTGGAGAGAGCTGTTTCTCATTTGTGGAGTAAGAAATTCAAAATAATCATAGTTCCCATCAATCCAGTCCTGCGTTGAAAGACGGATTTCTCCTTCAGGATAATCACACACCCAGTTAAGTGAGTCTTCAGAAGGCACAGGGCAATCCAACAGGCATATAGTGCGAGCATCAGCCAGTTTGAATTGGCTATCCTTCAATCCGCTCTGATAAACTTGGTTAGGATTTAACCAATATTTGAGCTCCAATTGACGAAGACCAGGGTCCGCATGCTTGTCTCCACATACATTTCCTTTGTAGTCCAGCCCATATGTGAGCCTGGAATGCAGTAATGCCAAATTGCCAATGATTACAAACAACAATAAGAAAAATAGAATCGAATAAAATTATGGGCTTCATAGTACTAAAAAGCAAATGACACTACTTGGGCGAATGCAATTTAAATGCTCGCCATCAAGAAGGTTTGCTAGCAATTCTAAGAAAAATTTGATGGCAAACAACGAAGCGCTCCACCTAATTTTCTTCCTTTCCCCCAAACCAACTCTCATTTCTTACTTCAGTTCTTCATTAGCCTACCAAATAACAAGATTGAACAACAGGTGCAATTTAAAGCAAACGAGGTGACTTAAACTACCATAAAATTCAAAAGAAGTTAAAACCAATAGTAGATAGCTAAGAAAGAAAAGCATGTCACGCCAAAACAGAGATGGTACAGTGAAAGTTAAAACATCATTAAAAAATTGCCACAAGAACGGTCGCTGAAAAGATCTCATGCCCCAGAAACATACTGAAACTCCATCAATGCAATGCAAAATTAGATAAAGTGGCAAGCTTTAAGATTTTACCTTAAGGGGTTCCCTCTATTGAAACCGAAGCTAGAGTTCACAATCATAGCAATCCAGAAAGCAATGAAGATCACGAGAGCGGCGACGTCGCGGCATTTTCTGTTGTGCCTAATGACTCCACCACTTGGGTACTTCCATCACTTGATGGGTATCTTCCAATGACTGCGCCTAAAGGACCCCGCATTTCAAGCTCTTCTGTATCTATGAAGCTTCAATTCAACATTCCAAGGAATGGAGAAGGCGGAGGGAGAAGAAACAACGGGGAGTAGAGGGAAACCAAAGGAGAGTAGAAGCAAGAGAAGTCCAACAGCTCTCAGTGAGAGAAGGGTTCTTAGATTTGAATTACAATGACAAATACAATAAATAAATTTTATTCCTTTTTTGAGACAGAGACATTCTAAGTGGTTTTTTCTAAGGCTCAATGTCTTTCGGCTGGAGAAAGGCACCTTAGCTGGCTCGGCTTGGAATTCGCGTGGAAACTGGAAAGCGTGCTGTCAACCAGGGTCAAAAATTAAGAGGGGCTTTACAGACAATGGGACCAAATCAAAGAAGCGGGCATGTCTCAATATTTATTATATTTTATATTATATTAATTTTATTATATTTATAATTAATATTAACAGGTCACATTTTTAAATTTTAAAAATTTTATGCATGTTAGATTAAAGTAATATTTTTCATTCTTTAATTTTATATAAGATTTAATTTTATCCTTTAATTTTATAAAATATTTTTTAATCCTTTACTGCTATCATTTTTAATTTTAAATGATTATTTTTTATATAAATCATTGTTTTTTAAAAAATTAAAATCAATATGTTACATTTTAAAATATTTTGTCATATTTAAAAGTTTAATGTAAGATTTGTTGAGATAAAACTGACAGTATTAAAATTAAAAATATACTTTGTAAAGTTAAATGATTAAAATAAATATTGTATAAAATTAAATAACTAAATATTAATTTAATCATATTTTTATGAGCACAAGATTTTTTGACTAATGAGCCAATTTATCAAATTAAAGGAGCAATACATGTTCAATTGAACAATCCAAAATGATAAGATATTTTAAAACATTTTGGCTAAAATAAGATTTTACTTTTTAATATTATCCTTTTTATTATGTGCTTTATTTTTAATTTTTTTATAAATGGAGTGTTAAATAAAAAATAATTTAAAAATTTATAAAATTGGTAATAGGAATATCAAATATTAAATAATTATTCTTAAAAAACACTAGGATAATGACAATTGATATCTTTATTGCAAATATTGAAGTTTGAGTATTAAAATTTTACAATTTCAATTATAAAATTTTTTTAATATTATTTAAGTGTCCTTATTTATCATTCTCTCAAAAATACTTTGAATTGGTCATAAAAAATTATTTTATTCATGACATCAAAAAATTTTATTTTATTGAATTTATACAACTATGGGTAAATAAAAATAAAATTTTAAATTTATTGGCAAAAAGTAAAATTTTTAAGTAAAATATAATTTCATCTCATCTCAAAAAAGTTACAAACAATTTTGAGACAAACAGCATCATTTCATTATTATTTAATAGAGCATTTTTACTCACAAAAAATATAAAAGAATTTATTTAGGGGGCAGTTAAAAAACAGATTTTATATTTTAAAATACAAAAATAAATAGTTTTTAAGAGAGAAGTACTTTCCTTATTACTCTTCTTGCCCATAATAAAATCTTACGTAACCACTTTGGACAAAAAAGATATGTATCCCAAATAAGAGACTTATCTTAAAAAAACATAAATCAATAAGGTATCAAAAATTATTGATTATTAAGAAGTGATTTTGTCTGTTTATGTTTACCGATAATTTTTTTGGACAAATGCCCTATAGAATGTTGTAGTACGCGCGCCTATCTGGTTTTATGAGATAAAAAGAATTAATTGGTGCATTAACTTGTTAGACATGTCGTTATAATTTTTTTGTCACAAGTTTCTTTCGTTTAACCATCATTAATATTAATGATAAAATTTATATTATTAAAATATGGATCTTTTATAAATAAATGTTTATATTAAAATAGAAGCAAAGTTAACAGTTAGTAAATTTTTAGACAAGTATGAGTTTTAAATTTTACTTGGTTTCAATAATAAAATATAGTAAAATTACTTATAAATAAGACAAAAAATGTGATTATTTTGTCAACAAATTTAGTTATACCTTTTTTTTTGCCAAAAAAATATAATTATACCTATAATAATGTAATGTAGAGGACTTGTATTGAGGAAAAAGGAATGTGAAAATTAAGACTTATTTTCATATTAAAAATATACAGTATTTTTAGTTTTCAACATATAGTTAGTAATTCAGGTGAAAAAAGATAGTTAATGAGGTTTTTTTTTAAATACTCTTAACACTTAAAAAAAAAATCTATTGTAATGGTTACATAATAATTTTTTGTGTAAAATGATCTTTTTATTTTAAAAAAATCATAGCTTTTTAAAAATATATTTTTAGTTCTCTAATTTTAATATAAGATTTTATGTTGATTCCTTAATTTTATAAATATATTTTTAATCATTTAACTACAATACTATTAGTTTTAAATGATTGTTGTTTTATACTGATCATTATAATTTTTAAAAATAAACTTAATAAGCCAAGAATTAAAAACATTTTTATCAATATTTAGAAGTTTAATGTAAATTTTTTTCTTTGAAACTAAACGGTATTTGAGGTAAAAGATTAAAAATATATTTTTTTAAATTAAAGATTAAAATAAAATTTTATATAAATTTAAAAGACCTAAAAATATATTTTAGACCCACTATAAAATATGAATATTGTAGTGATTTTGCCTCAAAGCGCTATAACCCAATCACAATTTAAAAACATTTAACTAGTTTATTACAGATACAATGTTTGATAAATTTTTTATATTTTTAATAGGATAAGTATTTTAGGAGTTGAAAAGGTAGTTGAAAGAAAAGTATACGTTAATCATTAGATATATATAAAAAATTGCAAGACTATCCAGATATTATTGTCAAAAGTCATATACATTTGGCTATACGCCAAGATGGTATCCATAAATTGCAATTTTATTGAAGTTGAGCACTCTTATACCAATAATATTGTTTTTGAATTTTTAAGAATTTGACCTATTAAAGGTGTTCACAAGCTCAATTTTGAGAAAAAAATTGAACCATACTAGGCTAAGTAGTTCACTATACTTTGGGGATTTATTTGTTTTTTTTTTCTAATCAGTTTAGTTTAATTTTTAAGCAGTTTTATTTGGTTTGGTTTAGAATCTATAACAGGTTTGAACATTTGTTATGAGATATTCTTCATAATGTATAACATGTACTCCTATTCACTAATAAGTTTTAACTATTAATTAGTATTTTCAATGAAAACAATCTATTGAGTACATAAGAATATTTTTTAACAATTAAGTAGCATATTTAATTATTAAAATTCAATATATTATATTTAAAACACTTGATTATAAAATTAAAAAATTATCAAATAATTGTGATAACACTTAGCAAACTGTAACATATCTATACTAACGGTTTGCAAGTAACTATATTTGGGAAAGAAAAAACCTAGGCAAATATCTAAAAAAAGTATAATGAATAAGATAAGATTTAATTCAGTTTTATTCAAGTTTTTTTTTTAAATTAAAAATACCCGAATCACTCAATCACCAAAAAAGACATAAGCTATGTGTTATATATATATATATATATATATATAAGATTAGCACTTTCATTAATTACACAATAAATTTACAAAATATATAAGTGTTTTAATAAAGGGAGACACTTTGAGATTCAACCAACAAAATTAAATACTAATAGAGCTATTGACAACTGAATAAAAGAAATATAACTAATATGCTGTCATTTTTTGTTGTGAAAATTTCAACAGATCTTATATATTTAAATTTTTTATGTGAAATTTGTAAATAATTTCTTTTTTATTACAAGGTATTTATGAAAATAGAAGATAATTTTGCGCGGGTCATCCTCGTGAAGGCCAACCGGGAGGTAAAAAAATGTTAATTAAGATAATTATGATAAGAAAATTTTGAGTGAAAACAAACAATAATTTTTTTAAAATTATATAAATGATAATCTAGTCTATTAAAATATCCTTAAAATTCATTAAAATTTTTAAAAATTCTATGTCATAAATTCTAAACTAAAAATATTTATTTTTACTTTTATGGATAATTGGTGATTGATTGCTCAATCATAAGATTTTTAAATAAAATTATTAGTATAATTATGTATGGCTTTTAATATTTGAGAACTCGTATTTCAATGATAAATAAATTTAATAAAATATGAGTTCTTTTTTTACTCTTGCGATTCATAAAATAAAAATTATTATTTCTCAATAAAAATATGATTAGAACTTGTTATTTTGAGATAGAATTACATTTAATAAAGTTGTGATTTTTGCTTCAATTTTATGATTCATAGTACAAAAGTTGTTACTCTTTCTGTTAAAAAATGTAAGGCATTTTTTGAGAAGTTTTGTGTTCAAAAATGTAAAACATACAAACATTTTAATCTTTTGAGGTATAATTATTACCTTTTTTTCAAAAGTACCCTTATTGATAATGACTTTATATTTATTGTAGGATATTTAATAGGAATAAATATGAAAAGATAGGATTAGTTTAAAAGTAGATAACTATTTTATTGGGAAGTGAGATTCAATTAAAAATACTTTATATTTTTTAACAGAGGGGGTATGTTTTAAGCAAAAATTTTGATTATAGCTTATTATTCTTAATAAGAATAAAATGATCTTTTTATTTAAAATTTATTGATATAAAAGTTTCTTGAGATTTGAGTGAAATTATAGCATTTCTATGAACTATTCCCTTCATTATAAATATAAGGTATTTGTAATCTTTCGAGATATAATCATTACTTTTTTTGAGTACTCCTATTAATGAATGGGTTTATATTTATTATATGGTATTTAATAGAGATAAATATAAAAAGATATGATTAAAAATGTCTTATATTTTTTAACAGATGAAGCAAATTATTATTTATATAATTAAAAAAAATTATTATTATTTTTTTCAATTTTAAAAATAGGAGTGTAATGTTATTTTAAAAAGAAAAACTCAGAAGTGTTAAAAAAAAAATGAAAAGCGAGTTGCACGTAAAATGTGCGAAGGAGCCAGCCGGGAGCCGAAGAGGAAGGAGTCGAATGGCGAGACACGACATGATGGAAAGTGATTAAAGAAATACTAATTCAGTAATTTTACTTAAACTAAACTCCGGGATTCCGCCGCTACGTGATAAGGACGCTGATAAAGTACGTTGCACAGTCTGCTTTTGAAGACCTAACATGGACCGTTGGATGGTGTTGGGCACTGTGATTAGCGCAATAGATTGCCCCATATCGGACGGTCAAAGGAGTCAGAAATGATAGGGGGAGAGAGCGACCAATGAGGCAATGAATGAGCATTATGTACGACAGCAATTTTCCTGAGGCGGTGGATCGCACAAGTTTTGTAGCTGTACTCGTCTTTTTATTTCCTCCCATGGAAGGTCACTTTTACTTTCTCACTTGTCTAGCATGTATTAGCCATAGACCAAAAAAAACAAAAAAAACTATTAAATAACTCTAACCCCATTAATTTTAAATAATTATTTTTATATTAATTATTGGTTTTTAAAAAATAAATTTAATATGGCATCAATATTTGATAATATTTTATTAATATTTAAAAACAAAATATAAAATTTATAAGAATTTAAGTTATAACAGGCCATAAATATTGCAAATTTGCTTCCTTTTTATGTTTTTAAGTGTTAATTTTGTCCTCGCATTTTATTGTGTTCTGTCAAATGTTTTTTTTTCAACATTTCTCAATACCTTTCCTTAATATTAAAATTAAATATTAAAAATAAGTGAACAATTTTTATTTTTCAGTAATACTTGCAAGTATATCTCGCGCATGCATCAATATAAGATATATAATTTATATTAGATTAGATGTACTGTTCGTAAATTATATATAATACAAAATTAATGAATATAAATCATTTTCTTGAGGGGTCCACAAAATGGTCCACCATCTATTCATCTTCCAATTCCATTCTTCCTCCAAAATTCAAGTCACATCCGACCAAGGTCCATGAAATGTTTTGCATGCTTGAAGCTTGTATGTATCCTTTTCCATTATTTGACGTGTAGTTCAAATTTTAAGGCTTTTTTTTGGATAAAGGAAAGAGTAGAAGGAAGATAAGGAGAGAACAAAAATGGGATGAAAAACTATAAAAAAAAACAGTGAATTGTTTATTATATATTTTTAAGAGTTTTTTCTCCCTAATTTTCACTCCTCCCCATTTTTCTCTTCATCCAAGTGAAGGTCAAAGGAACATATCTCATGACAAGTTTAAAATTATACTTTAACACTATTAAATCTATAATTAACTCTCTTTAAGGCTCTCATGTCCTCCTAGGTGATAATATGTTCAAGGGGATAAAAATAATTGGCAAGATTAACCAATCAAATCCTCTATCTTACATTATTTTTCAATATTATCGTAGTTGATATTAAAATAAAAACAAGTTACACCCAAACTTGATAATGAATATTTTCATGTCAATTAATTTTAAACTTTAATTTGACTCTCGATTCAACTTTAGTTGAGCTCCGACATTTAATATTGATCATTTAATGATTAATTTAATTTTTATTGCTTTTATATATAATCATCCTCAATTTCTCATCACTTGCCACACAAGTATTTTGGAGCCAAGATTACGCAAGTTTGGCTGTGCGGTAGTGGGCCTTGTCCAACGTCAACGAATAGTCAAATATCATGAGTAGGTGTGTGCCTCTTGAAAATAATTGTTCCCATTACTTATGGAAGGGGACACTGAATGCAATAAGATCAATCCATCTTATATTTCTGTATTTATGATAGATTCTTGCCCATGACTAATTCAAAATTTTACAATAGTTAAGAATTGTCATCCGATAAAATAATCAATCAATCTAGTTTGACGATGAATCAATCCCGTTAACTTTTTAAGGAGATATTGTAATGTCAATTCAAAAAATGATTTATAATTGTAAATCAATTCCACCTATCCTTCAAACCTTGATAATTTATTATTTCTTTTTAGTGAAATATTTTTATAACATTGTCATTTTGAAGATCTTGTATTGTACATGTTATTTAATTTATTACCCATACGAATTTCAAATTTATAATCAACGGCATTTTTCTTTAATTTTTCCTGTAATATGGGAAAATTGTGGGAAAATACCCCAAAATATTGCAATAATGTAAAGTTTATTTGTTTCAACAATTGAGCCCCCCAATCTTTGTCATGCCCAAGTCAATCGCATAGTCACATGACACACTTAACAGAGTCCAGCCCACAAGTCCCTCTACTTAACTCTCACACAAATCAAGCACTATAATTATCTACCAGTACTAATTAAAATTTAGCCTCCAAATTAGAGGTCTATGGTTCAAAACCTTTTTTTTTTTTTTGGCTGTGGGTGTCTATGGTTCAGGCTTTGATAATGTGGCAGAAAAAAAAAGTAAGTTTGTTTTTGCGTTTAAATTTTTGTAAACAAAAATCAAATTTTACAGAAAATAACACCTCGACTTTTTTTGTACTCCGTTGTTTTCATGTAAAATAAAAATGTTAAAATTATAAAATCAAGGAGAATACACTTTGGACTCTAAATTGGCACGAAATCGGGAATTCACTCCATTTCGATTTAGTTTGGCTAATGGTGTTCAGGGCTTATTCTAATAGGGTATTTATCCTTGGAGGTCCCCGTCCAAATCGTGCTATAGTGTGAAAGAGTCCGAAGTCCAAAGTCCGATTCTTACCTTGTTCCGTTCGACGATTCCTTAATTAGGCACTTCTCCTTCATATTTCGCATACTGAAAGATTATTCGATACCGTAGAATCCAGGCAAGATTTGTTGGATTAAGCTGAACAGACATGACTGAACAAGGTTTTGCTGAAGCTTTGTTTCTACTTGTTTGAAGTCGGAGTCACCGTTTCTCTAATTTGCTAACTTTTGATGCGCTTTTCCTTTGACGTCGCTATCTGTTGATGATAAAGAATTTTCCTATCTTTCCGTGTATACCTGAAGTTCCGAGTTTAAATGCTCTTGTATGAATTTGTTGAATTCATTATTTTCGGCCAGTGATAGATTTTGTTTTGTCCGTTTGGAGTTTTCATTTTAAATGATTATACTTTCAATGATTTTTCTTGTTGATTCGTTAATTTAGGTTGGCCTTCTCCCTAAGCTGTACAAGCATATGGGCGCAAGTCATATTGCCTTAGTAGCTACTGGGAGAAGGTCAATCTAGAATTTCTTATGGAACTGAGCAATGGTCCGATGAACTCTGGTGGAAAATTGATTGAATTGTTTCAATAAATATTTTAATTTCAGAATTTGTGATTATACTTTATGACAAGAATCAATTTCAAGGGAGAAGTATTGTCACGTGGATCTAGTTAGTGGTTAGCATTTAGTAAAGCTGTTTGGCAATAATGGAATATTGAAGTTTGTTTGATGATTTGCATCCTAATAGCTTGACTAAATGAGGGACGTGATAGATATATGGTGTCCATGAATTGAGTATGTGTAGGGTCATATCTTCACTCATTACCATCTATCACTATATTTCTTGTCTGCTGTTTAAAACTTGCCTATATACAAAGCACCATCTTCATTTGCTAACATATTTCCCGGCAAACTTTCAGCCATGGATATCAACGATGGGGAGGATGAAGTTTCAGTTTCTTCTCCCATCCTAAATTCCATTGATTCTCAGGAGAAAGAAGTTCTTGCACCTGAAGATGTTGCCTGGGCTGATTCCTGCCTAATTGAAGATACTGATACTTTAGAAAGTACATGGAATCCTCTGAAAAATGCTTTACTTGAGATTATTAGTTCTTCAACAGAATCTTTTAACACTGATGGAGGAGCTGATATTGAGATTCTTCCCTCAACCAAGGAGAGCAAGAATACAGGGTTTGAAAGAATTGGTAATGATTTTTCCCGTGTCAGTAAGGCTGCTGAAAGAAGTACTGATAGTGTTCAGGACGACAATATGGATTACACACAGCCATCATCTTCCTTTGAGGAAAATCTAATGCCAGTTTCTGAAGGAACCATGCAAGCAAGTAACCTACATATTGACATGGAGCACTCTTCTGTGTCTTCTTCAACTTATAATGCTCTACCAATCAGTGTAGCAACTGCAAATACTGATGATATTCCGGACAATGAAAGGACTGAAACCCTGTCTTCTCTAGCCTTTCAGGGAAATCCTTTTCTGCCAACTTACAATGAAGACCTGAGAGTTAATGAAACCATGGATTCGGCACTTAATCTGGATTTATTAGCTCATGACATGGAGCAATCATCTGATGACATCTTCAAAATCTGGGATTTGAATATTCCAACAGAGGAAGACGAATTTGATAAACAGTTGAACAAAGCTTTGGCAACAAATTCCTTACGAATGACGCCATCATCTCTTGGTGATTCAGAGCAGTGGAAAGTTTCGGGGCAAGGATCAGCTGGTTATCTTGTTTCTTCTGATAATTCAGAGCAGTTGAATGTTTTGGAGCAAGGGCCACTTGATTATGTCATTGAAGGCTTCGCCGACATGTCTTTGAATAGCTAGTTAATTTTTTTTTTTTAGCACTCCCTATGAGATTCTTCTATGCCACTAAAATTATTGTACTGCAAATTTAACAAAATAAATTCCTTTTCTTCTTTTTGGCCTGCTGAATTGAAATATCTTTTCATCTGCATCAGTGATTAGGTTTTGAATGATTCCTTGAAAAGCCTAGGGCTCTATTGTCTTTTGCGTGTAACCCTCTGTGATCAATACATTGTCTTAACTGGGGTTGGCTGAAGAAATATGGATGGGATGATTAATGCAGAAATTAGGGACGATGAACACCGGAGTTCCGTTTGATTTCTGAGTTCTGTCTAAAAGCTGAATTGGTTCAGTTTGGTCTAGTCATTGGAGTCAAATTATAGTTATTTGTTAGATTAGTTTGAAGTCGTCCTTACCTCCAGAATCATGCTAAGTATAGTATATTTGCTGAAATAATACTCCTCCATATTCATTATATAGGTCTTTTAATGATTGGCGCAAAAAACAAAAAAAAGGTCTTTTAATGTTATTCTACACAGATTAAGAAATACAATAAATATGAAAAAGAAAATTAAGGTTAAGGTGTATTTATACTTTTAAACTATTTTTCAAAGGACATTCATTATCTGAAATTATTTATTATAATAATTTCACTCTCAAAATAATTAAAACTTAATGCGTATTTGGATTAAAAAATTTATATCTAAGATTATGATTTAATTGAGGGTAAGAGGAAAATCAATTAATGTAATGTGATTTATATATTGATATCTTTTTTTTTTAAGTCAGTTAGATAAACTGAAATTTGTTTAAATGATTTAATTTAAAATTTAATTGAGATGTTTAATGATAAAAAATATAAATTTTTTTGTAAATATTTTTTGACTAATTAATAAGTAAAAAAATCTTAAATATTCAATTATAAAAAGCTAAAATAAATTCATAAGTTACAAAATATTCAATTGATATAATCTATAAGTTGGAGGGAGAAGAATTTAGAGTCAATAATTTAGGCCAATCTCAACAGGCTAGCTTAAATTTACCCTAAAAAAGTTAAGATAAGTTTAACTGTATGAGTTTTTTTTAAAAAAATAGGATACTTTAAGCCTGGCAGTTGAAATTACCAGCTCTATATGTATATAGAGTTGGTAATTTAGGCCAAGCCCAATGGGCTTGCCTGTACTTGCTTGTACCTACTTAAAAAAAGTTATAACCGAACTTGTCAATATGAGTTTTTAAAAATGTATGATATTTTAAACTTGATCCCAATAAGCCCAGCACGCCTGCTTGAATTATTGGCTCTACAAGAATTGACATGAATGAACAAGAAAAATTATGAATTGATATACATGGGTTAAGCCATATTCTAATAGTGCCAAACTAATTTTCTTCTTATTCTTTTTTTTTTTACTCTCATTCAATCAATAATCATCTTAACATATCAAATCGTCCCAAAATTTTTAAAAAGAAAATCATAACATGATTAAAAATAAAAATTTAACATTAAAGGAAGACTTGAGTTTTCACGATCAAGGTTAACTTGTTACGGCGGTACAAGTCAAAAAGTTATCTGTAACATCCTGATTTTTATATAATAAAGAAATTGTGAAATTTAGGTTTTGAGGAAAAAATGATAATAATAGGAATTTATATTATTTGAGGTTATTTAGAAATGATATTATGGTTAGGTATTTAATTATAAATTTAAAAATTTAAATTTAAAATTACATAAGTAATATTTAGTTAAGATATAATACATAAATAATTTTTTTTATGTGTGTTAAAAAAAAAGAGAAGGTAGAAGAAACAAAAAAAAAGGGGTGGAAGGTTGTTATTTTTAAGTCCCACATTGGTTAGATGAGGGAAGAGAAGAGGTGCCTTCATGTATAAAAAGGAGGGGGTGTGTGCATTAGGAAGCATGAGAGGCTAAGATGCAATTTAGAGGAAATTGCAACTTTTGGCCCAAAGGTTTGAATAATTAAATTCAAACCTATAGTTTTTTTTAATATAATTTTTGGACTACAATCCCATTTTTATATTATTTTTCTCTCTTCCTCTCACGTTGCTCAGCGTTTTCTCACAAGGGAGATTATTTTCTTTTTCTTCAGGTATGTTCTAACTTTCCTGTTTAGATTAGCATTTAAAAATTTATTTAATTACAAAATTAATTTTATAGTTATTTTCTAAATAATATTAGCTTTTTAGTGATATGATTATTTTGTAAGATAGAGTAAATATTCTGATTATAATTTTTCTATAGGATAGTTAATCTGATGATATGATGTATTAAAAATATAAGTTAAAACTCTTAGAGATATAATAAATATTATAGAATATTTTCTTGAGGTTGAAACTCATGTTTAAGAATTTTTGAGTAAAAATCTAGATCTATATGGTGGAATTTATGTGGAATCTGAGATGTAGGGATGAACCTCTGGTTATTAAATATTTATTTAAGTATGAATAGGTATTTTTGAGGTTATAGAAAAGTGATTTGAGGCTTCAGGATAATTCTAAAATTTTTAATTTATTTTTGAGCAAATTTTTAGAATATAGAAGGATGAAATTGTGATACTAGAAGTAATTTGAGGCTTAAAAATAGTTTATTAGGGTACGAGAATTTTAGAAAAGAATTTGGGAAGTTAAATGAGGCATAAATCTTAAATTAGTGTTAATATGGATTATAGATCTAAGACTTTCTAACTCTTTAAATTAGAGTTATGTATTTTAATGTAAAATTAATACATAGTATTATGAAATAACTATGTAGATTTTGACAAAGATAGTGGTGAAAGAGGAGTTGTGAAGGGGAACTTGTTATTCAAGACACAAGGTAAACATTATTAATGTGTTGTGATGGGTGTGTTTGTGAATGGTTATGTGTTGCTTTATTGTTTGAAAAAATTATGAATTATTAAAAATAAATACTGTATATACTTGTTTGAAATTATTGCCAAGTGGGTTAAAAATTTATTTTTTGTTTATCATGATGAGATATTATTGTTCGGATATATTCCTGTTTGGATATTTGAATGATGCATGACTTGTCAGGGTATTTTAATGTATGGTGTTAATGGGAATTTCTGTTCGGTTAATTATTACCAAGTGGTAAGCCCTCATTGGACCCAATGAGTGGCGTGTCGCTTGGTCCAACTCACCTTTGGCCGGATGATTTGGCGTCCGAGCATGGCGAAAGGAGGATATAAGGTGCAGTCATGCAAATTAAATACTTGTTCGGTTTATTTGAAAATATTGTTCGGTTAAATGTTTTGTGTGCCCACTTAGCAATCGCATGATTAGTTACATCCGCACGCATCATTACATATTAATTTTTGGTTACTGGGACTTTTAAGTCTCATTCCCGTGGTTAATATTTTTATAGAAGCGAGTCTGGCCGAGAAAGCACCAGAGGTGTAACTATGATGTATGAGACACCATCTTTTACGTTGCCTCTTATTTTGAATTATACAATGTATCTTGTGCCAACTTAGGACATATCTTCTTTGTGGAGCATATAAACTCTAATCCTTTTTATTAAATGCATTTATATATTCAAGAGGATTATGTCTGTCCCTTTTAATTTTTGACTTGATTTGAATAACATGTTATGAGGATCATGTCTGTCCCTCATGGTTCTAATTACTTTTTTGAGATATTTTAAGACCTGTGGTATATTGTCTTGGATGTATCATGATAAAAAAATTTTCTACCATGATAATGGTTTTAATAATTTGCGAAAAATCAGTTTGTATTTTTGAGGGTGTTACATTATCCTAAGGGTGGAGTTGTGTGGAATTGGGAAGGAGTGTGGAAGGAAGTAGATGGATCCTCATGTAAAAGCATTAAGGCCCCGTTTGGTAGCTTGGAATCATGGAGAAAGAAATGGAATTAGACATGAAATCTATTAACATGTGTGTTTGGTATGCAATAATTATGATTCTTTGGAATCAGGATTCAAGGAAATTTGGCAGAATCCAATTCCATCACATGCATCATGGAATCCAATTCCATGGTTCCCTTTCTCCAGTTTGCCCCTTCTCTCTCCTCCAATATAATTTTTTTTAATTTTAAAAAGGACACTTTAGTCTTTTCTTATTTTAAGTACTTATATTTTATTAAAATTATATCAGGATTCCATCATCATACCAAACACACTTTTAAATCCAATTCTATTCTAATTCCGATTTCAATTCCATTAAAAACTCTTCCATCATATCAAACATGGCCTAAATGTTCTCCAATGTCTATTATCTTGTCAATGCTCGTCATAAAAGCTACCCCATCCAACCTTATGAAAAACGTTCATTTGCATCTTAACTTTAGTTAAATATTTTTTTGTCATCCAAATATGATTATTTGAACTTTTAATATCTCAACTTAAATTTGAGTCATCTCAATTTAAACTATGATGTTATGCAAACGCACATAGTATGTTTGTTTTTTATGTCAAATATTTTGATGCTAACCATTAAAAATATTAATTAAGACTTAAGTTTAACTAAAAATATTACTTATCATGCTAAGTGGAACCTATTTTAAAATCACCCTTCATGGTTCAACTTCTTAGATATATTTCTTTCTTTCTCCTTTTTTAAATAAGAGGCATTTTTAAAAATTTATATCTTCTTTTTTGAAAAATTAAGATTACACACTGTATTTAATTGGCATTATTAGTATTCCTTAGTTTAGCCAAAAATATAAAATCTGCTCATCATTTAATTGCGTTGGAATATATGTAGTATAAGAGCAATGCTTTTCCGTGTAAAAAAACTAGCTAGCATGTCGCTCCGTTATAAAAAAGAAAAAAAGCTGGGGGTGTAGCAGTACAGTAAAAAAAAAACAGCAAATACGCAAAAGTGAGTCTGGTCTCAACTTTGGCCCAAAAAAAAAAAAAAATCTGGTCTCAACAAACCACCCCATTTTTACACCTAAGAGATAAAAAATTATATCATGTAATTTAAAAAAAATTATTTAATTACAATAATTATATCTGAAAATAAAAAAATTAAATTAAAATATTTTATGTTAATCAATATAAATATATGTTAATTATTTATTGTTAATGTAAATTATGAGGAGAGATTTAAAAAATGTATAACAAATGTTTATTAAAA